CAGGATGGGCCTTTTTGAGGCACCGTCTCCTTGGAAAGAGGAAGGCGGGCAGATTTCTAACATCCTTCCGCTCCCCGCGACCCCCTTTATTTGCAAAAAATATGCGATTTTAGCCTCTTGTTTCTGAGGAGGTGAACCAAAGCTTTGGACCGGCCCTGAATTAAAAATTGTAGTCCTCTGTGTGTGTGTGTGTGGAAATAGACACATACACACGCACAGGATTACAATGTTTAACTTCCAGGCGATAGCTTTATATACATTTATATGTATGTTCATATGTATGTGTCTATTTCCATCCATCTATCCGTCCATGTGTGTGTGTATGTATGTGCACACATGCATACATATATGTGCACATGCATACATAAATGTACACATCTGTACATATATGTATGCATGTGTGTGTGTATGCATACCAGTACATATGGATGGGTGGCTGGCTGGATGCATGGATAGATATGGAAGGGCCTATACCACAGACCAAGGGTCTTCAGACCTGTGGACTTCAACTCCCAGAATTCCTGAGCTAACATGACTTGGAGGAGGAGTTCTGGGAATTGAAGTCCACAAGTCTTAAAGCTGTCAAGCTTGAAAACCGCTGCTTTAAATTCTTTCAGTCTTGGCGTGTTTGGGTCTTTTCCCACCAAGATACTCTCAATCTTACACGGGACAGCCTTTGTGACCTGACAAGCAAAGTCAATGGGAAAACCACATCCACTTAACTGCAATGATTCACTTAAGTGTGGTGAAAAAAGTCATAAAATGTGGCAAGATTCACTTAACATATTAGTGACATAAATTTTGGGCTCAGTTGGACTATTTGTATAGGTTGCATTTAAGTTATATGGTGTTTAGAGAGAGTAATGTCCACATATGCAACCCAGATTCTGAGCAACAAAGGATGTTTCCTGATGGTAACTACCTGTTCAAATGAAAGATGTCCAGGAAAATCTCCTTCGTAGGATTAACAATAAGGATTTTTGTCCGTCCAATGGAATAAGTTTGTTTGAAATTTGAAGAGCCATGACGTTGAGGGGGTTCTGTAACTGCAAAGATTATATAGAATTAGCATGGAAATTAAGGTGTATTCTACAAATCATTAAGTGATCCTGGTTGATATCTATATTGAGATAATTTTGATTTGATTTTGTTGCTTCTTAAAGATGAAAATGAAGAAGAAAGGCCAGAGGAAGCACCTGCTAGGTGAGTTTTTTTATAATGTTCATTGTGAGGTGTAGTCAGTCTTATTTCTGTTGTTCAGTTTTGCACTGAATATTTAGAAGCAGCTAAACCCAAATGTGGCTTTATATGTGCAGTTGTATTTACAGCTTATTTTAAGAGTTTTATACTGTTTTTCTGAAAACAAGTAGTTGACAAGAAATGAAAAATAATTTTAAAATTTTGCAGATTAGAACTATGTTCAATACACTAAAATAATGTAAAATTATAAGAAAAAATGTCTTAATCTCCTTTCGGAAAGACAAGAGTGGCATCCAGTCGAGAGTCACTGACTTGGATGGATGGCATATCAATTTAATCAATAGAATAAGTTATCCTAAAAAAACAAATATCAGTTTTATTTATTAATCAAATTTATAAAACTGCCCATGTCCCCAGTGTTTTGGAGTCACAAAAACAAAATCTTTTTTCAGTGGGCCTGTGCACATGAGAAGGTCTCTGTAAAGATTTTTCTAAGATCCAAATAAGTCAGATGTGAATTATCCAGGTCATTAAAAGCAAGACTAGCATTTTGAATTGAGTTATGGAAGATCAACATCCAATAATGATCCTAATTCAATGAAAGTTGAAGTTACTTAACCTGCATTTGTCAGGTTTGTGTGTAATGAAATGCCAAATGTGACTATATAAACTTTATTCATTGTTCAATACAATTCAGTGAGGTTTTTTTTATAAATAGCCGTATAAGAAACTTGGTAAAATGGATTCTATAGATATCTCAATTTTAATTATGAAATTGAAATTATTTCAGTAGGCTTTTAGAGTTTATTGTGCATCTTTGTAGTGCTGTTCTAGGAGACTACTTTTAGTAGTACTTGTTTAGAACATTTTTGAGAAAGTTTAAATAATTTCATGGTCACAAGTAGTTACATTAGTTGAGCATACATGTAGCTTAGGGATAGCATGTCTTGTTAGAGCTATGTTACAAACTGAAAATACTTCATTACTTTATTAAGTAATGTCATCTATGCTCATTTTATTTCAAATCCTAATTGAATTGGAACCTTACGGGCTGAAAAAAATTCAATGAGCATTTTCCTGATTACTTTTGTAATTAATATGATAAATCAATGTTATTAAAATCCTATTCTACTCTGGCCTCTTGAGTATAATCTCCTGTGAGTAGAGTCTTCTTATGAATAGAGACCCTCTGAGTGTCAATACCATAATTGTCTAGTTATTGTCATTTCTAAAATTAATTAGATATAGGGTACAAAATATCACTGTTGTATACTTCTTCACAAAATCTATGCTCTACAAGATTTTTTTAACCCGGTTACTTTAATACCTTAATAATGGGGACAATGAAAGACATAATATATAATATCAGTGAAATCACATTAAATCAAATGAAACAAAGTGTTATTGTGCTTAATTACTAGTTGCATTTTTATTTCCCAGAAATACAGGTTTTACTGAAAAAGTTGTGTTTTTTTCCTAGCAAAACTATAATACATATAAAACATTAGTATTTTCTATCAAATCATTTAAATTACACTTTTTAAAAAAACCAGTACCAGTCCTTATCAACCAGCTAATGCCTTTTATTTTATCTTGAAGTGTTCCAACCCCAACGGGAAATGAAGAAGAAGGAGCAGCTGAAAATGGCGTAGTGAAAATGGTATTTTTATAAAACTAGAACTATGGAAATCTGTGTAATATTTTTTAAATTTTGAGCAAGCCATTCATGAGGACCAATTGGCTATACAGCGTGGGTGTAATAATTTGTTAGGGGTGGGTCTATTTTGGAAACAGAACATTTGAGAGAATATCTTCCACTCCTGCAATTTTATTGCATCACTTCCAAAGTTTAAAAAGCTTCCAGGACAATCCTAGATTGGCATAGTATGGAAGAGAAACTTATTTATTTAGCATTCCCTGGAACATTCTGTCCCCCAAATGGACCATTTTTGAACATTCCTATAATTTATTATTTTATTAGACTTCACTGTGTGATAAATTAAGTCCAGAATGCAAATGTTATTGGTGCTGAAATTGTCCTCAACGTTGAAAGTATGAGGATAACTTTACACATCTAATGCTGAGTGATTAAATGATGTGCTAGAAAAGAGTACAGTACTTTCCCCAAAGCTATTATCTGTTAGACATTGCTGGCAGATTTATTTACACTTGGTGTGCCCTGTTAGTAGCATTCTAAGTACCATTGTGCTTAAAGGTTTGTGAACATTTTTTAATGTTCAATATTATTGCATAAATATCATTTAAAATGGGATCTGTTCTCCACACAAGTCCCAAAGCTTGATAAAAAGAATCCAGTTAAATAAGTAACTCACAAACATACTTCCTCATTTCTCTATTGAGGAAAGTAATCCAAAGCTGTAGATTTGTGTGTGGCAAAAATATGTGATCCTTTGCTTTCAGCATAAGCCATGGTGGTGCAGTGGTTAGAATGCAGTATTGTAGGCTAATTTTGCAGAATGCCAGGGGTTAGATCCTCACTGGCTCAAGGTTGACTCAGATTTCCATCCTTCTGAAGTTGGTAAAATGAGGACCCAGATTGTTGGGGGCCAATAGGTGGACTCTGTAAACTTCTTAGAGAGGGCTGCAAAGCACCGTGAAGCAGTATATGTGTCTAAGTGTTACTGCTATCCGGTAACTGGTGTGCCCTCCTTGCACAGCATTAACAAATGTTTTTGATAATTGTTCAGTCCTACACATCAGCTGAGAGGAATTTTAACCCATTCCTCCACATAAAAGTGGTGTTAGTGAGCTTCTTTGCATGAAAGGTTGTGGAAAAACCCATTTTGGGTCTTTCCACAACATTTCACTTCATTTCATTTCATTTCATTTCATTAATGTTTCGATGAAGTCTCATCATCTTCAGGCTTGTGTCTTCAGCTCTGTGCTTCTCAGAGTGATGTGAGCTTGCAGCTGCTTCTTCCTTTTAACTGCTAGTGGGGGTGTGACTTGATTGGGTGGGGGCTTGGCTGTGTTCTGATTGGGTGGGGGTGTGTTCTCATTGGTTGGGGGGTTGGCTGTGTTCTGATTGGCTGGAGGTGTGTTCTGTTCAGGTGGGGGCTTGGTTGTGCTCAGGTTAGTTAACAGAAGCCTGATGATGGCAGATGAGATTCTGCCGAAACGTTGCTACAACTTTAAAAGCACAACTACAATGACGTGGGAAAATACCCGAACAGAGCTATAGGTAATGGGTCAGGGTTTTGATTTTGCCCGTTTTGGCTCATTGTCTTGCCGTATGACTCATTTTGTGTTGAACTTCAGTTCACAGACAGGTATCCTGACCCTTTCTTATAGAATTTGCTAGTACAATTCAGAATTCCTAGCTCCATCAGTGATGGCAAGCCATCCTGGTGCAGAAGCAGCAAAGCAGACCCAAACCATGATCCTGCCACCCCCATGTTTCAGAATTGGGGTACGGTTCCTATGGTGGAACACATTGTTTGCCTTTTTCCAAAAGTAACCCTTTTCATTAGATCTCCAAAATTCTTTGTTGGTGTCTTGTCCATCCAAAAAAATCTTTCAGTAGCCTTCTGGGTTATCCATGTGGTTTTTTACAACGTATAGATGGGCAGCAGTGTTCTCTTGGGGGAGTGGTGACTTCTTGCAATCTTGACAAGCTTGCCATTGTTGTTCAGTGTTTCTGTCAGGGCAATCTCATTAACATGACATTTGCCAATATAAGAGAGCCCTATAGTTCTTTAGATGTTGAGTATTGCATGCCTTGCTTTTGGTGTGATCTTGTTGGTGGACCACTCCTGTGGAGGTTAAGAATGTGTTGAATTGTCTCCACTTTTACATGATCTGCTTGATAGTAAACTGGTTGCATTTGAACTCTTTAGATATAGTTTCTTAAACTTTTCTAGCCAGGTAAGCAACAACAATTATTCTCAGAAATCTTCTTTGTTCAAGCCATATTTCCACATAGCTGTGTTGTGAATATGAGATTTTGATAATATCCATAATTCTGTTCTATCACTAAGGCAAGACCTGCCATACTCAAACCAGTTTCTCATCCCATTGATAGAAACACCTGACTCTTAATTTCCAGTTCAAATGAATTGATAATCCTAGAGGTTCAAATACTTTTGCCACACTTAAATATGTAGCTGTGGATCATTGTCTTCAATAAATACATGATGTTTTTTTATTCATTTCTTTAATATTGGTCCGCTTTATTTTTAGGGCTTATGTGGAGAGTGCATCATGTTTTAAACCATATTTAAGCAGTAACATTGAAAACTCAGTTCAGAAACTTTCAGAGCACCTCTATGCATATCTACTAGTGTTTCATCTTTGAACCAGAGAAACAGCTAAGAAGTCTCTCCCCATTTTCTATTTCTGCATACAAATAAATCTCTTCCAACGCTGCTTTTAAGTATTTCAAGTATACAAAATGCTTGCCAGGGTTGTATTTTGCTCATTTATATTTCAACAAGTGAGTGCCAGTTTGGTCTAGAGTTTAAGGATTCTGGATTAAAAGCAAGAAACTGGAATTAGACACAAGAGACTGTCAGATTACCATAAGACAATTATTTTATTAAGTCTTAAGAATACAGCATTGGCAAGCCACTTCTGGAAAGCCATATAGTAGCAAGGAGTCAAGTTTGACTCAAAGGAAAGAAAATGCCATCACATGTAGAGGATCTTGCTTGTGTCTTGCAAATATGTTTTGCTTGTGGCAAGTAGACATTTTTCTTACCAAGCATTAGAATTAAACAAGATTTAAATAATCCACATTGAGAAGATTATTTCTGAATACATGACTCTACAGGTTTGGATTATACAACGTATCTTGAAATGCTATGAATTTGCAATTATACAGTTGCCTTTTCAAATAGTATCAAGAAAGGTAGTTGGTACTTCCACCGTAGTTGAATTATATATAATTTCTAATTATAGTCTTTTTTGGGGGGTGGGTAGAAAGTGACAGAGGCCGAAGATGACAGTGACAGTGACAGTGATGATGATGAAGATGATGTTCAGGTCACTATTGGTGATATTAAAACAGGAGCACCGCAGTATGGGTAAGTTGTTTACTGCTTCATCATCTGGATTTCGGGTTCTGAGTTAAGGCAGGCTTATGAAAAATCCCTTCCTTTGTTACCTTGAAGCAAGTAACAATTGCTTCCAGCTAAAGGACCAACTCTATGGTCACGTGATTGCAGTCTGGGTTCTTGGCAACCTGTTCTCACATAACAACTGGTTGCCAAGTACCCAGGGACCATATGATCGCCACTTGCAACCTTTCCTGCCAGCTTCCCCAGAAAGTCAGTGGCAAGGCTGACAGGGAATGTTGCAAGTTGCTGGGCAAGTTTCCCCACCTTCTTACCCCCCCCCCCCAAGCCCTTCTGTGTTCATGTTAATCACTGATGCACCCCTGTAGAACTTTGCCAATCTATGCAGCATCTCTTCTGCATCCTTCACACTGTTATGTGAAGGATGCGGAAGAGATGCCACCCTGACCTTTATCCGACCTGCACTGTGCCTCTTGTGCCTTTCCTGACCCACCCAGCATTTCTCATTATCCTTACACTGCCCCAACCTACCCTTTGCACGCACTTGTTCCCTCCCCCACCCAGAAAATGTCATCTACATTCTTGTGGATCTGTCTGCTGTATTCCTTCTTGCTTTACTCCTGACAGCACATGAATTACAAAGGTTTTCTAAGTAATTTTACCAATTTTCTCACAAAAATTCAAAAGGGCTTTGCCATAAAAATACTGAAATGTACTTTTCAGTGGAATTTAGAGTTATTTATTAGGAGCTGTGGTAGTGCACTATTGCAGGCTGCCTACAGGCAGGAATTCGATCCTGACTAACTCAAGGTTGACTCAGCTTTCCATCCTGAGGTCGGTAAAATGAGGACCCAGATTGTTGGGGGCAATAGGCTGATGTTGTAAACTGCTCAGAGAGTATTGTAAAGCACTATAGAGCAGTATATAAATCTAGGTGCTATTGCTAAGTGCTATTTCAATTAACCTCATGTTTAGAGAAATCTAATGCTACCTATAAAATTCATTTTTGTTTACTTTGTTGTAATAGATTTGAAGACAGTTGTATGCTCTAAAGCAGGGGTCGCCAATCTTTTGGACCTCAGGGACCACCAAACTCATAATTTTAAATTCCAGGGACCACTAACCGGTTCTGTGGGCGTGGCCTAATTTGTGGTTATGGCTTGGTCACATGACTGGCTGGGTATGGCTTGTCTGTAAATATTATAAATATTTATATAAATATTGAATTTTTTATAAAAGAGCAACTTTTACCCAAAATCAGGCAAAACAGGCAAGCAGATTGGGTTGCTCACAGAATCATTCAGTGATCTATCTATCTGCCATCGGCTAGCTCAGTCTGTCATATAAAATTTGCTTGCCCTGAGTCTGCCCTGAATAATAGAAGCTTCAGTCCTAAGGGAGGTTCAGCTGTGCTTAAAAGCAGAGCCAAAGATCTAAAGACTAGCTAGAAAGCAAGAAATCCAACCATTTCCTGCTTCCTAGTTAATCTAAATCTCCCAGCACAGCAGAACAGATGATGGTCGGAAAAAGGAAAAATAGCAACTTAGCAGACAAGTTTGCCGGGTAAGGAGTGAGTGGGCGGGGAGGGTTCCCGTGGGCCATGTGGGCGGTGCAGCCTTGTGTTTTTGCCCAGTTTGGATTAATTGCTTTGGGGGGGGGGGCTCTGGAGGTGACATTTCTTTGCAGCCCACCCAAATTTTCTTGCGACCCACTGGTTAGTGACCGCTGCTCTAAAGAATGCTAAAGTAATTACTTCATGTTACATCCCAAATCATTTTACACTTTTTTGAAACTTCAGCAATACTTGTCACAGTTGATAATAGTTTTTTTTTAATGTAAATCAGGTATAGACACCATATTCAACCAGTGTGACTAAGTGTAGGATTTGCTCCCTATTATATATAGCAGATTGCCCGTCATTGTCAGTGTTATAAAATTAGCTTAAATACAAGCTGTTGTATATAAACAGAGAGCAAACACCAAGCTCACTAGCAGCACTGATGATGTTACCTAGTTGAGTAATGAAATGTCTGCAAGCAAACAGCCAAGCTCAGAGAGCATCAAGGACTCCACTGTCCAATCTGAGCTACATACATTATTTCCTATTGGGATCAGAAACAAGTAAAATACCTAGAACTAAGGAGAAATTTCCTGACAGAACAATTAATCAGTGGAACAACTTGCCTCCAGAACTTGTGAATGTTCCAACGCTGGAGGTGTTTAAGAAGAGATTGGATAACCATTTGTCTGAAATGATATAGGGTTTCCTGCTGGAGCAGGGGGTTGGGCTAGAAGACCTCCAAGGTCTCCCTTCCAACTCTGTTATTCTATTCTATTTTAACCAGTAAAAAACCAAGTTGTTACTGTATTTCCAAAATACCTTCAGCAAAGCAATTATACATTCCTCACAATTGAAGTGCTGGAACTGCTAAGCAGTATGGTCGTGTAAAATTGTGCTTTACAATTATGGCAGTGGGTGATGGAAATTAGAGGCTTAATCATTGCCTGTGGACTACTTGTATGTGCATGTATGGAGAACTGAGGAAAAGCTTTGCAGTGTCTTTGCTGAGCTAGAAGTTGTTGCTTCTTTTAACACTTATGTGAGTGCACACCACTGCACTTCTGAACACTTTTTCAAATCATTTCCTCAACAATCTTGTTCATCTTTTACCCTTTACTGTAAAAATGTTATTTTTTAGGTATGGAGCAGCACCAGTGAATCTCAATATTAAAACAGGAGGGCGAAGTTATGGATCCTCTGGTAAGCATTTATTGAGAGCTCAAAGAAAGAAACTAGGAAAAATAATGCTATGCTCTGTACTTCGGTATCTATTAAGATTCTACATTGCATTGATACAGTGTAAGAGAATGTTTATAAGAACAGTAACTATCGGGCTCATGAGTGCCAGTATGCAGGAAATAAGCACCTTATTTTCACTATAGAAACTTATAATATACGTTGTTGTCGTGGGCTAATAAAATAAGTATTCTTTTTTTATAGGCACCAAAGTAAAAGGAGTTGATCTTGATGCACCAGGAAGCATTAATGGTGTTCCGCTATTAGAAGTTGATTTGGATTCTTTTGAAGATAAACCTTGGAGAAAACCAGGTAGAAAATTTTGCACAGAAATAAATAGCATTGTAAAAACATGTCAGTAAAACTCCGCAGGTGAGCAGAAATTTGATTTTCTTGTTTTAACTAAGCAGACGAAATGTGTTCATAATGCCTTTTTCAGGGGAAATCTAATCACAGCATGTTGTGGACCCAATACTTATAAAAATGCTACTTCCAAGAGGCAGGGAAAATACAAGTATTACTCAGCTGGATTTGACGCATGAGAATGTGTTGTTGCATGTTTTGCATTTTTAAGTTTTTTACTCAGTGTTTTGATGTTTTAGCTACTTCGGCTTATCTAACATAGGAAAAAGTGCCTCCCCTTTGAAGCACAGCTAAGTAATAAAACATAGCTAAGTGGTGGTGGGAAGTAAACAAAAGGGGATGTTGTAAAAAGAGGGCTTTTTTTCAAAATGATTATTCAGCTGCTTTTCATTTTGGAAAACCAGTAGCTAGAAAGCATTGTGGAAGGCAGGATTCTTCCACATTTTTCTAGTAGTTGCATTTAACTCCTAGAATATTGGTTGTTTTCTTTTTAAGGCGCTGATCTCTCAGATTATTTCAATTATGGGTTTAATGAAGAGACTTGGAAAGCCTACTGTGAAAAACAAAAGAGAATACGAATGGGACTCGAAATTTTACCCGTTACCACAGCTACAAATAAAATAACGGTAATGAAAATAATCTCTTTGTTTCACAATTGTAGAACCATTTTCCTTCAAAAGTTAGATTCCACACACAGTGTTAGCAACCCTTGGTGTGGTTCAAAAGTTCATTCCCTTCCTTCCTTGTTCCTATCATCCAGCCATTTTGCTCCATTTCCTTGTTGGCCTCTGTGTTGGTAATGTGGAATCACTTACTGCAACTAGCTTGTAACCTGTTGTTAGTTGTGTTGTAGCCCATCAGTCCATAATGTGGTGTTTTAATGGGCAATGTGTTATTTAACTTAGGCCGAAGACATTGCTATGGAAGTAACGCCAGGGACAGAGATTCCAGATGGCACATACAGTCTTTTTAAGGTGAATGTTGGTAAACTTTCCTTAGTCACTCTAATTACTGTTTGCCATACCACTTCCAAGTTTGAGTCTAAACACAAAAGTGGACGTAGCTGTTTTTTCCCCCCAGCTTTTTAAAAAATATGTTCTCTTAGATGTGCTGCATGTAGAAACACTTATTTTTTTATCTTTCTTGCTGCAACTCTTATGACTTGATGGCATAATGTACTAATGATTGCTGTGACAGTTACATAATGTATATGCTGCATTGTTTTATTGAGATATGTCACTCCGTTACAGATTTCATGTATCATTTTTGATCCTTGCTTTCTCTCTCTTGGTGGTCCAACTTCAAAAATGAAGTTCAGGCAAAATTCTGCTGACTGAAGAAATTATTCTCCCTGTGTAAGAATGTGCACGAAACAAAATGTGTGTAGTTTGGAATCTGAAACGAAACGAAGGCTGCTTTAACTTTCTGAAAGTTTTGCCGTTATATTGGGGGAGGCATAGTTTGATGGAAATGAAACCTGGAATGTTTTTACTATTTTTTATTTCTGCTGAAGCAAAAAGCATAGGATACAGGACAGGTGTGTGCCACACTTAACTCTCTCTTGCCTTCCTACAGATAGTATTGCTGCCTATTCCATTGTGCCCCTCCACCTTTTGCAGTGTCGTCTTTTTCTCGGTTGCCCTGGACTGTTGCTAATAGCCTTAGCCTCCCTGCCTGAACGACTACTTTCAGTAACAACCATTTCAGCCCATATTCAAACAAACAGCTCCATAGCTGAATCAACCACCTCTGTTTTGTATTAGAGTTTAGACCCAAACCACCTGAAAACAGCTGTTCCACGAACAGTTCATGTACAAGTACTTCCACACATCCCTACCTTCGTATATAAGATATCGTTAGATTGTCATAAATCAGGATCGCAAACTTGTAGTAATCACCAACCTCTAATATGCCTAGAAGACTTTCGGAGACCACATTGTTAGGCTCAGCGGCATCGTGAAGCGGCAAATTCTAGCTTTCTCTTGAGTGCTTCTAAGGCTGAAGACAATTCTAGACCAGACCTTGCTGTGGTAGGACTTGAACTCTTTGCTTCATGCCAGTGTAAGAAATTATCAACTAGATACATGGTTACCATTGACTAGGCATTTGAGAATGCCTGGGGGTGGGTGGGAAATGCACATCAAGTTAATACGTGACGTTTACATGGTGTGAAGAAATGGGTAGGTACTTAAAAACCAATATATTTTTGAGAAAATTACCTTAATTTTGCCATAAGGCCAATACTTTATTTATTTTTTACACCAGCACAACAGTTTTGCAAAATGTAGAAAGCATATAATATGCTTATTTTTCCATGAAGAGAAACTTCAGTTGTTTTGTTTCTTTGTTTTAATAAAATGCTATTTTAAAACATGATAGAAAATTGACCTGGTAGGGAATTTTTTTTAGGATGGATCTGGCTGGTTGGCTCCCAATTATTCTTTTTTATTTTCCAGGCTGGAGTATTTTAGCCTCTTATCACTTAAAAAGGAGAACAGGTATAAATACTGATGGTTAGTTCAACATCTGTAACCATGCTAAGGTTACATATTTTATGTTCACGGGGGAGTGTGTATAAAATTTTTGAGTAGGAAGCCCCATTTCAATCAGTGTGTGCAGTATTTGTTCAACATTTGATACTGAAGAATTAAGCTAAATTATAAGCAGAGCTAATATGAAGATTTGAATTAGTATCTTTTTATTACTTTGTTGAGCTTTTTTTTTTTTTTATAAAACATGCTTATGTACTATTTTATTTGTGCCTATTACCCAAGACACTTTGGTCAAGGCTACCTCATAATTGAGGATTTGAATCACATTTTCTACATTCAATTCCAGATTTATCACCATCACAAGTATATGAGCGGGGTTGTGCTTTTCCGTAATATTCCATAATGCTACAACGTCCATTCATGCTTTTTACTAATGTAATCTGATGAAAAATGTGAAAAGTATCCATTGTTGTTATATAGAAGTCTACATAATCTAATGCTCCACCATAATGTGTTAATCACTGTATGCTTTTCCAAAATAGGGATAAGATGATCAACTCTAGTGCTCTAAAAGCAGGGGTCCCCAAACCCCCAGTCCATGGACTGGCACTGGTCTGTGGCATGCCAGAAACTGGGCTGCACAAACAACCGAAGTCCCATCCACGGGATGCAGCCAGCATATGAAACCACACCCCCTCTGGTCCATGGAAAAACCTCTCCACAGAACTGGTCCCTAGTGCCCAAAAGGTTGGGGGGGGGGGCACTGTCTTAAAGGACTAGAAAACAACATTATAGTTTATAGGTTTTTTTTTTTAATATACAGGAAGAGGTACGAAACTCTTTCCCCAACTAGTATTAGTGCAGGATATTTTGCCTGTCTTATTCAAAGCAATCTTTTTTTTTTTTTTAAAGAAAAAGTATGCTTATAACCATACGGTATTTGTGCTTCCCACCCACCCCCATCCGAGGAGAAATACATATGGTCCCCCATATAAGAGACTAATAACTGCCAGTTGTTTAGGTTTTATTTGTCTAATAATGCATATAGTTCAATTTGCTTTGCTTAATAGCAAGTGGAAGTTATTGTGTACCTTATCAGTCTGCAGGAAAATATTAGTCTACATTTTTAGACTTTGCTTAATACTTTTTTTAAAAAATATTCTTTACATGTTTGCTTTTTTGATGTTTGGGATTGATGGAAACGGCACCAGATGCTTAGGTAATTTTCCCTAGACATGCCACCTAGAGCTATTTTCCCATAATGGAGCTGAGTTTGACTGATAAAATATTGATTGTACTCCATATTTCTCAGTTTTTATTCCTATTCCATACTGAAGAAAAACACTTTCGTTAAACACTTTACAAGTGCTGAAGCATAAAAGCACAAATCTTTGGTGGATTCTACTTTGATTCTTCCCCCCCCCCCCACCCCCACTTCATAACACTACAGACTAAGTTTTAAATTACCTTCCCCTTCCCTATTCTGAAAACAACTTATTTTCAGGGTGGCTGTTGGAGTTTTTGAGAAGTGACATTTCCTTGGACAAATGAAATAGGGAGGAACTTTGAATTGAAGCCACAATAACCAGTTTGCTAGTATGACCATCCATATTTAGAAATTATTGGGTTTTGTTGCTATTTTTTTTTTTTTTTTTGTGTAATTTATTGGAAGAGATCCTTTATTTTGCACTAGGTAACGCTAATGAAGAAACTTTATTCTAAAGGTGCAGCAGGGCAGAACTGGAAATATGGAGAAAGAAGTAGCACTTCCACCAGTCAAAACTGAGTTTACATCTCCCCCACCCTTATTCAAGACAGGAGTCCCATCAAACAGGTCAGTTGGTTAGTTGCACTTTCGCAGTGCTGAAGACAGAAACTGTTTCCAGGGTTGCTATCATCCCTTTTTAAAATTGAACAAAATATCTCTTTACCACTTTCTCACATCTTGCGTGTTTTTTTTTTCATCCTTTGGTTTAAATCTTGATATAATCTGAGATCTAGAATGTCAGTGGCAATCAGTGGTTTTCAAAACCTCTAAGCTGATAATCAGTGGTAGTAAACAGGGTTAATTTGCATCTAAATAACATGTTGACAATAATTTAAGTAGGTTTAGAAGCCAGATGATCTTGATTATATTTTACAAAAGTTTATACTATGCATTTAATTTGGGTTGAGGTAACTACCATGAATTCCATAATTGTCATGCCCTTGTTGGAGTCTGATTCTGAGGGGGAGATTGAGGAGCTGACAGGGAGTGGGAGTGTGGCTCCGGTGGCTGTGGAAGAAATGGGGGAAGGGCACAGTCCGGCTGGGCATTCAGAGGAAGACCCAGGGCCATCCTCTCTTCATCCTAGGGCACGCAGGGAGGAAAGGAGAAGGGAGCAACGTGGCTTACGGGAGAGAAAAGGGCCCTGATCCCTTTCCTTAGTTGTAGCTGGGAGAACAGGATATAAGAAGGGCATTTGCACACAGCACCTTGCTGGAAGAAAGTGTGCATTATCTTGGTTAATGCTTATCTGGGTGTTGGCGTCCTCCCAACTGTGTGCTTCCTTATTTTTTGGAAGTCTGCAATTTATTATCCTGGCCTGTCGTGTTAATTACTTCAGCGTGGTTTGTGTTGGTTTTTTTATATCTAATTTATCTGTACTTTGGGTTCGGACTGCATTTCTTCCCTTTGTAGACTGTTTTTGGAAGAGGTTGATCTCCAGCCGAGGATAACTGGACATTGGGGGCCAAGTTTGAGGTATTAAAGGGACTTTACCTATTTTTGTGACTTTGTTGCTTTTGTGCCACCCCCGGGTCATCACAATAATGTTACTTGTATATTGTTAAACAGATATAAACAAAGGCTGCCTAGCGGCTTAAACTTTAATATCTATAGTCTTAATTTTTGTGGTTGGCTGAGATTTGTTTGGAGTAGGCTGTAGTCAAGGTTCTTCTTACATTTGATCAATTAAAAATGCAAATTCAGTTTTGAAGAGGTCATAAGACTTGCCTATCATGGGCTAGATATGCAAAGTCAATATATATTGAACATGTAGCTGAATGACATCTTAAATAAGGCAAAGTAATACAATCAGGAAAATGTAAAAAGAATTATATTGCTTTCCTTTTGATCATTATTTTCCTGCAACCTGCTTGATTTCTTTCACAATGCTTTATTTCACACTAGCTGATTTTGCTTGTAGCTGTTATATAATAAGATAGTCTGAATACAAGCTCATAATCCAGTTGAATCCTATTGAAAGCTAATAATCCTGTTTTATATGATCTATGTTGGCCTCTACTGAATTCATTTTGATTTTCTCAAATAAATGATCATAGTTTTTTGTGTGATGAGCACACTCAAGAGGAGTATTTTTCGACTAGATGTTGGGGCGGGGGTTAGAGCATGGTCAGTGATTGAGCAGCTTTCTCTGATGCCTGCCTGCTCATCAGCCAAAATATTCTCACTTATGATCTATTCTAGTCCAAGAGCTTGTTATACAATATCTGGCATATACTTTGCTGACCACAAGGGAGGCTGATGGCGTAGTAAGAGGAGGCAGGTAGATCTCTGCTTCTTTGTGGATTGGGATGACCAGAGCTAGGCCCCAATCATTGGAATTTTAGCATGATTATTGATGCAGGTGAATAGGGAAGCCAGAACAGGTACACACCTATCTAGATTATTTTGGATCACCTGAGATAAAGTCATGTTTAGGAGCCTTGTTTGGTTTCAGGTGTTTAATCAATCATTGTTTTTACTTTTTACTTTTTGTTATTTACAATTATTTTTACTTTTCATTAAATACCCTGGTTATTCTAATTTGTTTTATCTTAAAATGTTATTAGCAGATCAATCTGATTTCATTTCTCTTTCCACAGCCAAGTACAGATTAATAGTCTTCATAGTATGCCATAGTATTAACACTAATCCCTCTTAGATATCTTAGAAAATATATTAACTGTGACTATCCTGCCTGCTGGTCTACAACCAAATAAAGATTGATTTATTAGGGTTTTCTTGTCTGTGTCCCTATAAATAAGGGAAACAGGAATATTTGTATTACATCACGAATATTGAAAGCACTGGCCATCATTTTATATATTGCCCTTTTCTTGGCGGGGGAAGACATGAAAACATCATAGAAATTTCAGATGGGGAAAAATAGATGTTTATCAAGCAGTACATTATTGTTAATGTTAACCTATAACATTATAGGTTATTGTTACCCTATATTTTAGGTCCAGCCATTTAAAAGTATATTTAATTCCTAGATTCTATAAATGTTGCAATTGTTTTGCCATGAACATATGTATATTTTACTTTCGACTTCTCAAGTCTGATTATGAACTGTTCTATCCGTGTTGATGCTAATGGTGAATCAAAGAGTCTGAATTGTTTTTCTTGAAACAAAACAGAAAAAAATAATCCAAAAACAAATCATAGCTTCTTTCTCTGCAACTGCATGGTACCTGGATAAATCCAGCTCTATTTGGTTTTCTTGCTTGTTTGTGTGTTTGTGTTTTCTCTTAACATGAGATGAAATGACTTAGTGAATATGGTTAAAGCATCTCTAGTCTAGACCACTCTTAGAATGATCCTGTCTCCCAGAATCACAGGAAGGCGCAGATGGGGGGAGTGGGGGGAATTAATGTGACAGAGTGAGGGGTAGAAAATTGTGTCTGATAATAGGAAAAGGTAGAAACATAAGAAAAGAAAGACCTAGAACCATGATGGTGCATCTATGGCATGCGTGCCACAGGTGGCATGCAGAGCCATTTGTGCTGGCACGCGAGCCGCAGGCAGACTTATCTCACTGCGCATGCACGCGCTTCCCAGCTGATTTTCGGCCTCCCAGAGACTTGAGGATAGCTTCTGCAGCCTTTGCAGGCCGAAAAATAGGCCCATTTCATCGCTTCCTGTATTTCCAGACGCTGTCCTCAAGCCTCTGGGAGGCCGAAAAAGGCCTCAAAGAGGCCGAAAATCAGCTGGGAGGCGCAATGCAGGTAAGGGGGGGGGATTGTGCGCACATGCTCAGGAGGTGTGTGTGGGGGTGCACATTGCCTTCTGGGTGCTGGCGCATGAGCGCATGCACAATTTTTGCCACAGGAGCCCAAAAAGGTTAGCCACCACTGACCTAGAACATTTATCTCACCAGAAACAGCGCCTCTTCTCAGTCGCAGACAGGCACTGCAGTCAGGAAAACCAGTTCGGGCGCTGTGAAGTGGCAGGCTCGATATGGGAGGGCTGAGTCACCCGAACTAAGGTAAGAACATTTTAAAATACATGTTCGTGTTTTTAAACAATTTTTTTTTACAATGCCATATTTTTCCTCAATAGATGGAATTGGGCTGGACTTGGCCACATAAGCCTATTTTACCAACACAGATGTGGAAGTATAAATACAGGTTAATCCTGATCATAATACCCAACTAGATTCTGGGAATTGTGAGGAGAGTATTTTCTGTGTGTACTTCATTATAGAATTGGGGAGTCTTAAAATGTAAAATATTTTTGGGTTAATTTCATCAAAGCCCGTTATGTTTTTTTCCTCCCTCTTTTTCCCCCCTATGATGATAATAAAATGAACACATAGAACACTGTTATTTCATCAAGGAGCACCAAAGTTCATGAGTGCCAATCAATGTTTAGATTATTTTCTGCACCAGGATTCGTCCCATAATTGTTTTGTTTTTACTCTGCTAGTAGTTCCTTTACACCCACTGTGCTATTACAGTGGCCATACATGGCTCCACTTTCCAAATGAAATACTGATTAACCATAGCAATAGCACTTAGACTTACATACTGATTCACAGGGCTTTAGAGCCCTCTCTAAGCACTTTACAGAGTCAACCTATTGCCTCCAACAATCTGGGGCCACCCTGGAAATAGTGAAGGACCAGCCCGTGGTGAAAATGGAGCTCATGAGGGCAGTCCTCCCAAGCTCCATTTTTTCTGGCAGAGGGTTGCAGGAGGCCGTCCCAGTAGACAACGGAGCTTGGGAACCCGTTTTCATTGGCAGAGCGCTCAGGGCACCACAGGTGCCCCCCCCCAATACAAGTGCCATCATGCTGGCCACGTCCACCCTGGCTCCCCGAGGTCAAACCGGAATCTGATGCAGCCTTCAGTGAAATCTGTATGTTTTATCCTCCAGACCCCAGGGGGCGCTGGAGGTGAGCAGCAGGGCACAATTCAGGGGTGAGAAAAAATCAGTCCGCCACCGCGTTCGAGGCGAGGCCCCGCAGGATCACCCCATTGACTTGCACACTCTGGTGCAAGGAGCTCAATGGGGTGATCCTGGGGGCCTTGCCCCGAATGCAGCATTGGGAAAGGAGAACAAAGCCAGAGTGAGCAAAAAGCCAGAGTGGCTTTGTTCTCCTTTTCAAACATCCCGCCGTCATGTTCGGGGCGGCAGGGCCTTTCCCCGAATGCATCCGTTGGGAAAGGAGAGCAATCTAGTCCAATGACCTGCTCCAGCAAGGTTGGAAGGGACTATGTGTATATGTATGTGCATGACTGTCAAAACTCCAAAAACAGGTCAAGTAGTTCTGGGAAGGCCAGTCATAAATTAGAACACGTGCTAAGCAGCCGGCCATTAAGTGAGGACCACTTGTATTCGGTTTGCCAGTCACCAAACCACACCCACACAGTCATGTGACCAGCAAGCCACGCCCACCCAGCCATGTGTCCAGTAAGCCACTCCCACCCAGTCATGTGTCCAGTAAGCCACACCCACCCGGTCACGTTACCAGCAAACCACACTCTCAAATTAGGCCATGCCCACAGAAATTTGAATCCCGCCCCTGGGTGGGGGGCATTGAGGATGAGTTTGTAGCACCAAGGGGGCGGTGGACTGAAAAGGTTTGGGAACCACTGCACTAGATGAACTTTTGTAAGTCGAGGACTACCTCTCCTATCCCTTTGTTAATTGCAGTCTAGGACTGCGTTGGCTTTTTTGGTTGCTGTAAAAGGACTGGTCCTGAACCCCTCCCCCCCCCCCCCCCCCCCCCCCCCCGGTCCATGGACCAGCACCGGGCCACAGCATGCCAGGAACTGGGCCAAAGCCCCATCTGTGGGATGCAGGCAGCACATGAAACCACACCCCCTCTGGTCCATGAAAAAACTCACTCCACGGAACCAATAATTAACTAATACCAATATTAGTTACTGCGTTAATACTGGTTAATACTGGTATTAACCAGTATTAATTAATATTAACTAATCCCCAATATTGATCTGGAGCTCTGCTTCAAGTGCTCCTGCCAAATCAAACGGGCCAGGGGATCACAAGAAAGTGGCCACAGAGGTGCTTCCTTATCTATACAACGTTCTAGCTCAGGGCTCTCCACCCTTGGCAACTTGAAGACTTGTGGACTTCAACTCCCAGGATTACTCAGCCAGCTTTTGCTGACTGAGGAATCCTGGGAGTTGAAGTCCACAAGTTTTCAAGTTGCCAAGGCTGGAGACCTCTGTTCTAGCTAGAGCAGGGCTCCCCAACCCCCAGTCTTGGACCAGCACTGGACTGGACCGCAGCATGCCAGAAACCGGGCCGCACAAACAAGCAAAGCCCCATTCACAGGATGCAAGCTGCGCAAGAAACCAGGCCCCCCTCCGGTCTGTGAAAAACCTCTCTCCACGGAACCGGTCCCTGGTACCCCAAAGGTTTGGGGGCCATTGCGCTAGGACACCTAGATCCCTTTCTCATAACAATTCTTATAAAATATCTGAACAGCTATTACGTAGAAGGAGGGCAGTCAGAATTGTTTCAGAACCCCAAGCTGTGTGCAAGTGGGTGTGGCTATAAAAACGGAATAATCAAATGGATTTAAATTGCAAGGAAATTGGTTTTGATTGGCCGTCAGGAGATAAATGCTCCTAAACTGGAAGAACTGCTCATCTCAGGAAGCAAACTCTCCTTTGTTGGAGGCATTTTAAAAGAGGCTTGGTGATCATCTCTTAGGGTCATTATAGGAGTAAATTTTTACATTGGGCCAGGGGTAGGACTAGATGACCCCTCCTAAGCCTTAAATTCTGAGGCTGCTTGTCCAGAGTGCCAGAGGGATTCAGTAGGAAGCAGTTCATAGCTTGTTCCATTTGCACTCCTATTACATTAAAGAATTAACGAATACCCTTTTATATAAATTACCTACCGCCTATAGATCAGAATAACACTGGTTCATCAAGGCCTTATCCATTCTGTCCTTTTCACTTTCTTAAATAATATTTTGTAAATTGACTCCAGGTCACCACCTAACCTTGACATTTAAGAATCTTCCTGTCAGTACATAAACAAATAGAATAACAGAGTTGGAAGGGACCTTGGAGGTCTTGCAGACCAACCCCCCCTGCTCAAGCAGGAGATCCTATACTGTTTTTCGGTGGCAACAATCCCGATTAAAGCAGATCTGTACATTATTTTTTCTTGGGGGTTTTTATACAATTCATTACAGCAGCCTTCCATGGTCTGGTGCCCCCTCGGATGTATTGAATTTCAGTTCTCCAAATTCCTGTCTAGCCCTGCTTGGCTGAAGATTTGAGGGATCGAACCCCCAATCTGGAGGACAACAAAAAATTTCTGTAGAGAAAAAAAAAACTATAGTTCCTGTGCTTTTATCAGCCAAAATAAATTCCTATTTTTTTTAAATCTTACTTACACAATCCTTCCATTTTCCAAAACAATATTTATGAAAATTGTTTGCACTTAGTTTAAATGTTTTATGAAATAATGTTTTGTACTTCCTTTTTCAGACGCCTCTCTGGGACAATAGATGTGATTGGACAGACCATCACAATCAGCCGAGTAGAGGGAAGGCGGCGTGCCAATGAGAATAGCAATATTCAGGTTTGTTTTCATAAATGTAAAACAAAATAACTTCTACCCTCAATCCCAAAAATTCCCATCCAACATCAGTACAGAAGATGAACTTACACAATGTGTTAGGGTTGTTACGCAAAATAAAAATAAAAAAATAAAACAGTGAATATGACTCACAATCAAGCCATGGATTTATTCATTAGATACATTAGAATTGAAGGAAGTTGGAGAGAATTTCAAATCGAAAGATTGAATTGTTATCCTTTTAATATAACGGGCTATTATATTAATTTATTATATTATCATGGATTGTTTCATCCATGAAAGTGTGACACGTGTTCCTTGCTCTCCCCAAAGCTGTAGGGCCTCCTTTATGCAATATAGAAATTTCAAAAAGAGCACTGATTGGTGGCACATGCCATAAACCAGGGGTCAAACTCAAGGCCCGCGGGCTGTATCCGGCATGCAGTGTGGTTAGATATGGCCCACGGGACCGGCCTGGAAATAGCCCACGGTGCCTCTGCTACCAAAAAAGGGGCCCCGGGGGGGGGCATGCCCTACCCCCGGCTCCATTCTGGGCCTGGATGGACTCCTGCAGCACTCTGGTAGAGGTGTGTGTGACTCAGAAAGTTATAAAAGGGAGGAAAGGTAACATATTTCACCTTTCCAGCTTGCAGGATTCTGCTACTATAGCCTATGTCAATAACTTGTAGTTCTAGTCTTCCTATGGAGTTAGTTTCTTGACCTGGTCTCTCTCTCATAGGGTGATCAAGTAGATCAACTATTTATTAAATCAAATCACAGAAATGTACCCCTCTCTATTTTTATAAGTGCATAAAAACCATATGTGGAGGTGCGGTCCCGTGTCATGCCTACCATGGTGATGGCCATGCCCCACGCCCCCACTGGTCCTTCGAGGCCAAGCACACCCTTGATGCGGCCCTCAGTGCAATTGAATTTGACACCCCTGCCATAAACAGATTTGATCTTCCTCTCTCAAGGGTTTATTGCAAAACATTGCATTACTTGCCCCTCCCTCCCCATTGAATAGATTATTCCATTGAATAGAAGCAGACAAATGCAAATATTAGTTTAGATTTAGCAGGTCCCGAAGGGGAGGAAAGTACATTTTCCGCTCCTTTTTGTCCAAAGGCAAATATAAAATTGGTTTTATTTATAGGTTCTTTCTGAACGCTCCAGCAGTGATGTAGACAACAATTTTTCCAAGCCGCCTCCGTTTTTTCCTCCAGGAGCTCCACCCACCCATCTTCCTCCACCTCCATTCCTTCCACCGCCTCCATCAGTTAGTACTGCTCCTCCTCTTATTCCTCCTCCAGGTAAAAAGAAAAGTTGGGGGGAAAAAGGACAGTGTTTTAATTGCAGTGTATGTGCCTCACCTGAACCCAAAACCACAATGTTGTGTATTTAGAATTAGACATGTTCTGAGCAAAATTCAATTTATTTGGCACTGTAATATTCTATGTGGCTTCTAATAATCATTTTGCTTGAAGAATATGTTTCATTTCTGAAGTAGTTTTCACATTTCTCCTCTTTTCCTGAAAGATCATAATTATTGATATGCTGCCGCTTCTAAGTAACTGGTTCCTGGTCTTTGGAGAATTTCATGTAATTTCCTTCATGTGGAATTTGAACTGCAACATAAAATACAAATAAGATTATTGGACTGGCTGTCTTCTGATCACCACCTTAAATTTAAAACAGGACAGAATAAATTGTGGGCTAATTGGAAATATTTTAGTCCTTGATAGGTATCATGCACTGAAGGTATTCTCAAAGAGCATTTTATTAGCAATTTGCTTCAATTTTAGACAATCCCAACAGTTACAATTTTCTCACTATCCATATTAATTATATATAGAATATAAAGCAGAAACAGCAGTACAATAGATCTTAATTGTCAGAAACCACAGCAATAAGAAGAGCATTTGTACTTGTAATAAACAACAAATTAGTAATACTCCGTAACTCCAAATTGAGTGAAATGTGCCCAGAAAGCTAAGGCCCTCACTTGGTTCCAGAAAAATCATGATGTAGGTGGCAGCAGTGCCCGCCCCCAACCTTTTGGGCATTAGGGACCGGTTCCGTGGAGAGAGATTTTTCACAGACCAGAGAGGGCATGGTTTCTTGTGCTGCCTGCATCCCGTGAATGGAGCTTTGCTTGTTTGCGCGGCCTGGTTTCTGGCTTGCTGTGGTCCAGCGCTGGTCCAGGACTGGGAGTTAGGGAGCCCCTCTCTAGCTAGAACAGAGGTCTCCACCCTTGGCAACTTGAAGACTTCTGGACTTCAACTCCCAGGATTCCTCAGCCAGCTCCTCGCCTCAAAGCCGGCTGAGGAATCCTGGGAGTTGAATGCCACAAGTCTTCAAGTTGCCAAGGGTGGAGACCCCTGAGCTAGAACGTTGTAGGTTTGTCCTACAGAGGAAGCACCTCTGTAGCCACTTTCTTGTGATCCCCTGGCCCGTTTGATTTGGCAGGAGCACTTGAAGCAGAGCTCCAGATCAATATTGGTGATTAGTTAATATTAATTATTACTGGTATTAGTTAACGCACACAGCATATTGAACGGTAGGACTAATGAAATACAGTTTTCCTTTCCTTATCGTTCACACCTTAGCTGCAACAGTAACATATCATACTTGAGTGTAGTTTTCTGAGAGCTGGCAAATAATGAAAACAAAAAAATTCACACTTATATCATTTAAAATAAAATAACATTGTGATAAACATCTCTACGTGTTAAGTTTTGGAAATAAGCTGTTTATAGAGTTCATAAAAGGAACATTTTACATAGTAAGTTTTCACCTGTAGTTAATTGTCAAACTAAAGCTGGACTACATACTTAATTACAAGGAAATCTACTTATTTGAATGTAAGGTTACACTAATTCATCTAAGAATAGCTTTGAGATCATTCAGTATTTCTTTTGCCTGTGTACTCTCCCCCACCCCAGTGATTGCAATGCTTCTTGCCCAAAATACAAATTAAAATATTGCCTACATCTATTTTTGCCAAAATAGTAGGAAACTTTCTGTCCCAAAGGTGCTTCTGGACTTTCTGGTTTTTCTTTCGAAGACATTTCGCTTCTCATTCAAGAACCTTCTTCTTCATCTCTCTTGGATGAGAGGCAAAATGTCTTCCAAAGAAAAACCAGAAAGTCCAGTTGCCTCTTTAAAGAAGCATCTTTGGGATAACCATGACCTGCATGACTGAGAATCTCCATAGGAAACGGCTGTTTTTCTGACACATTCACAGCTTTTGTCACAAATATAATTGCAGAATTGACAGACAATAAGCTTGTCAATAATTACTGGAATCTTTTGAATTTGAACAACAGCCGTTATTTGAGGGGAGTTCATTTCAGCATAACTGCAGGTAGTCCTTGACTTAACCACAGTTCATTTAGTGACCAGAGTACAACGGCACTGAAAAAAGTGACTTAGGGCCATTTTTCACACTTATAACTGTTGCAGCCTCCTCATGGTCCTGTGATCAAAATTCAGATACTTATGACAGTTGCTGTGCCACGTCTGATCCCCTTTTGCGACGGTCTAACAGGCAAAGTCAATGGGGAAGCCAGATTCACTTAACAACTGAATTACTTAATAATGGCAGTGATTCACTTAACAACTGTGGCAAGTAAAATCTTAAAATGGGGCAAAGTTCACTTAACAAATGTTTCTTTTAGCCACAGGAATGTTGGGTTCAATTGTGCACATAAGTCAAGGACTACCAGTATATCTGTACTTGTAATTGATCGATGAAACCTGAGATGAAAGTGTGAGGAATGAGAAAATAAAACCATTATTCACAAGTTTTTGAGAGGCACGAAGTCAGATTTTTTTTTACTGAAGTTCAGCATTCAATCATATTTGGAAGCAAAGGAGACATTTCCACATGTGGAAGCAAAGGAGGCACAAGTTTATCAGATGAGCCTGCCCTGAGGCTTTCCCCCTTTTTTCTTTTCTTTTTTTATCACTTGCAGTTTCATACACTTGGAAACAATTGTATTGTAGCTTTGGCTCTTTCAGGTTTGCAGCATTTCATCTTCAAAGAGCAAACCAAAATTAAAATCTGACCATTCCTCCTCTATTGGGGTAGAGACGTTTCTTATTAGTTTCTTGTTAGCCAAATATTATTAACTTGGAACTTCTGCCCGGAAAGTTTTCATACATTCCAATATAAAAACATCCTTCCGATGATCCTTTTGAAAGGGGTTTTTTCTTTGAAGCTCTGGTTCTGTGTTCACTTAGCTATTTGTGATGCAAATATCTGTGGAGGCCGGAAGAATTGCTGCTGTTTAAAAAATGTAAACCTAAAAAGCTGACTAAATCTTACTGAGAATAGTCACTGAAAGTAGATGGTATAGAGCTATGTTTTTCTAGGATTTATGAACCAAGTGAGCAATACAATTTAATGGACAGAGTTAACTATGTTATGTACTTTTTCCTGTCACATTTTACAATATGAATGGGCTCTCTTGGTCTAATTCCCATTCTCGCAAGTAAGATAACTAGTCAGGGATCAGGCATTTCATAATTGCTAAAGTTAGTTTTATCAAACAGCCATGATTGGTATGATGTGTCAATGGGAGGAATATTCTCTTGGTTGTTTTTTTAACGTTCTTTTAATGAGAACCGTATGGCCCAGTTAACGTTAACCTGTCATTTTCCATTTTGAACTTGCTGTCTTGTCTGTTAACATTGAGGATATAAAGGCACAGGTGGGTTTTTTTCCCATTGAAATGTGCATGTGTATTTTTACAAAGAAAAAGAACATTTAAGATGTTACTTTAAGCTAATATTTTTAGAGTTACTTTTTATAACATGTTTATTACGAGTAACATATCTTCCTATCTAGATGATATGGTCCCTGGAGTTTAATGATACATAAATATCTAAAGGTTTTTTTTTAAAAAAAAATATAATCAGAAAATTCTAATTGTATTGTGTCTTCACTATTTAAATAATGTCATCATCTCTTGCTCAACAGATTTCAAGTCATTAATATGGAAAAGTGCCAGTACGTTTGTTGGGCACATATTTTAATGTGGGTGCATGCGGTAGAGTTTTTATTCATTCATTCATTTATTTGCATGGACACGGCCACAAATGATCAGGTTCTGCTGTTTGTGTAGATTCACACACAGAACCTTTCTGGACTGAAGCCAATAGGGATTGGTGGTAGAAATTAATTTACTGCCAATTCTTACCGGCTTTTTAAAAATATGTTGTTGGCATAGAATGCCAATATGGGAACCGCAATATGGGAATGAGACAATATAAACTCATTGCTGAAATGACTGGGTGCATCTTTTTTGTTTTAGGTATACCAATAACTGTGCCACCGCCAGGTATATTTATTTATTTTAAAAGTAGCATGAAACTTAACTGTGAATTCCTTTTTGGTATAAGGAACATTTGAATATATCCCACTTTTTAAAAAAATGCACTCAGTTTTCTTTGAGTTGCCCACTTGCTCAAAGTAGTTGAAGAATTGGAAGAACCTTAAAATATATTAAGTGTGCAATGTTTTTAAAAAAAAGCTACGCAAATTTGTTTTATTTTGGCATCGTTCTATCATTTATTGCTACAAAGTTTTACTAAACGCTGCTGTGCTGGTTTACTGCTGGGACCCAGCTAATATGCACTAACTTAATTTTAGAATTCGTTTTCAATTTAAGCCAACCTGTTAATTAAATATTTCAGGCTTTCCTCCCCCACCTGGAGGACCACCACCTTCCCTTATACCAACTATAGAAAGGTAAATTTTTAGTTTGTAATCTACCGTCACAAGGGCTTTGTTTGTTTTAACAATTGCTAGGATGTGAATTCAAACAAAAAATACCGTTTTTTGTTTTTGACTCTTTGAATTTCCTTGAACCGAAAAGAAACCTGCTTTGTAAGTTTGTGGGTTCAGCAGCCACTTTGGGGTAGGTAGAACAAAGAGCAAGGCTAATTGTAGAGTTGACTAGGGTATGGACAGTGAAGATAAAACGATTGGGGACAGCAAATAAGATTTGAAGTCTGAAGTTAGATATTAGTTGAGCAACTCTTACACGTTTGATTTTCTTCTCAGTTAAAAAAAAAAGCTTTGGAACAGGGCTAGGCAAGATAGTAACAATCTGCCATATATACAACGTGTATTTTTTTAATCTTTATAAATTTCTGATTCAGGAAAATGTAATCTGGGCGCTAAGATATTTGTGGGGCTTTTTTAATTGTTGCTCTTCAGGAAGGTCTCTGGATTGTTTCTGGTAGAAAGCTTGACCCTCTAAGACCCTCTTCAAGCTTGGCAAATTTAAGACTTGTGGACTTCAACTCCCAGAATTCCTGAGCTAACGACTTGGAGGAGGAATTCTGGGAGTTGAAGTCCACAAGTCTTCAAGCTGTCAAGTTTTGAAGACCCCTGCTCTTAAGTGCAGGTAGTCCTTGACCTACAACCGTAATTGATTCACAAGTTCGGTCATAAGACATGGCAGTCATAGGTCACCATGTGACCACACCCAATTTTATGACTTTTCTTGTGTCATTAAGCAAACACAGCAGTCATAAATCGAACCCATAGCTAAAACATTGTGGAGTGCTTTTTGCTGGAAATCAGAAATGAATGCCAAATTTTGGCAAAAAAGTGTCATAAAATTAGTCATGTGACTACAGGATGCTGCAATTAGCTGGAAGTGTGGGCCAGTTGCCAAGCACTGAAAATGAATGAATAATTAATTTTATGATTTAATACCATTTATGATTTAATATCATTTTATGATTTAATGACAAATGCCTCCTAGTATAAGTGATTAAGTGAAAACAGCCAGTGGGGGAAAACGTTTAACCCCAAACTACATATATTAATCATGATCTGAATCAAAACTTTTCTTCATATTAGCAGTTGTAGGATTGGATTTGGCCATAGATCTACCTTCTCACTCCTCACCAACTGACTGAATGATATCGGGGGGCAGGTTCAGTGGTCAAGACCTTGACATTAAAAGTTTTCTAATGGAAGAACCTTTTCCCACGTTCTCTACCACATAGAGATCCGTTTTGTCTATACTTTCCTAGTGTAGCTGGCTGCATCCGTCCGACCCGTAAGATGGAAAGACGGAATATGAACAAAGCCAGACAGGAATATTTCTGGGAATATTGGGCTGATAGGTTCAAAGGTGAATCCATCCATGTTGGAGTATGAACCAAAAAGCAGAGAATTGGGTCTGTTGCTTGCCTTAACATGTAGTTTCGTAAGGCTTTCTGTTGCAGAATGTGTAGAGGGGTGCACAAATAACAATGAGGCTGTGCACGAAGGACCCAAACAGACCTACTTCCGACACCCTCATCCTGTTTATGAAGATAATCACAGGGAGCATAGAAGACATTGATAAACCTCTTTATACATGCAGAGATGGATCAGGTAGCTAGTTGCCTTAATTTATTCCTGCAGAGCTGAAGGCAGTATGTTCAGGACACTGTCATTCAGTTAACAGTGGCAGCCCATACTGATTTACTTCAGCATGTTGATGATTAATCCTTTTCTACGCTTGCAAACAAATGCACAGTTCAGTAACTGGACCTGTAATGCAATAGAAATTGGTTAATTTGAACAGAAATATGAAAGAGGCTTGATTTATATTTATTTCCCAACAGTGGACATTCCTCTGGTTATGATAGCCGCTCTGCTCGTGCATTTCCATACGGTGGTGGTAAGTGTCTTTAGTTCGCTGCTTGAAAATGTCACTTGGCTTGCTATATTTTCATATCTAAAATTTTTTTCTTGTCTACAGGAAAACTAATAACCTAGTTTATTGTTGGTTTCCTAAGTCTTGTCTATTATAATCTTTCATTTGTCAAGCATCCATTGACAGGCACCAGTCTCCTGTCATATGGTGAGGGGGGGCATGAGGGCAATCAGTTAAACTGAAAATACATTCAGTCCTCGACTTGCATCCATTCTTACTATCAGAATTTCAATTGTTGAGCAAAGCGGTAGTTAAGTAAAATTCCACGTGACCCGTTTTCCTCAACAACCGCAATCCCAGCGTTTCTGGTTGTGGTCATTAAGCTATCTTGGCAAGTCATTCAGTCTCGCAGGGTTGACTCTCCGAGGAAGCTGACAGAGAGAAGGTGGCAACAAATGGTGATGATAAGGTTGTGCATATTTGTAGCATGCTATATTAAACAGTTAATTACAAATAATTTTTTTTTCTGAAATTATCAAATTTAAAAGTTGCCCATCTCCTTCCCAGAAGGCCTCTGATAAGATAAAATGTTAAAAACAAAAAGCGAACGTAAAAAAAGCACAGTGGAAGCAATGATAGTAAATGTCAATATTAAAAAGCAATTAAAAGGCAGGGAGAGAGAATTCAGGGTGCTAATCAGGGTCCTAAATCAGCCCCATGGGTGCATGCTTCTCTTTGAGCTTCAAGTTAGAGCCAGATCTTTAGATATTTAGGTATTTTCAAAAGGCCAGGAGATTGGGGGCACATCTCACCTCTGGATTGTAGGTTTTCTATTTCCAATAAATGCTGAATGTTAAAAAACAAAATGGAACCCGTATCATCATAGCACCAGAAGACGTGCACAAGGAGACTCCTGAGCCTACCCACGTTGTAAAAAATTAATTTTGCTACTCCCTTTTGTTTGTTTGATTGCTGTCGGAAGCATGGAGCAATATTACCTTGAGCAGTCTTATTCAATCCCATTTAGTGCAAAGATCTGCAACCCATATTCTATAGATTGATGCATAGGGTGCTAGGTATATCTAGCCTGCAGAAGAGAAAGTTTGGGGCGGGTATGATCATTGTCTTCCAGTACTTGAGGGCTATCACAGAGAAGAGAGAGGTCAGCCTATTCTCCAAAGCACCAGAGGGCAAGACAAGAAGCGAAGGATTGGTAGCTTGTTAAAAAGAGATCCAACCGAGAAGAAAAGAGGGCTTTCCTGGCGGGGAGAATAATAAATCAATAAACCATTGCGGAAGATTTTCAAACAATCCTTTGTCGGGAATGGTATAAAGTCTCCTGCCTTGAGGGAATTGGCCCAAGAGACATCCGAAATCCCTTCGAGTCCTATGTTCTATGATGCCCTTTTAATAATAGAAGAGGCTGAGATTTATTTTGGGTAACACAAAGTCAGTTACCTTTCCTTGAACTTCTCTAGGAACCAGCTTTCTTGAAAAACTCATTTATTCTCCTGTTTAAATATAATAATGTTTTCCCCTCTTGTGATTAATAGTGATAACGCTGACGTTTTTTTTAAAAAAAGTATTCTTGGAATTCTTGTTTTATATATCATCTGTATTTTTTTAAAAAAGTTTTTTTGTTACGGGGAAATCGCTTGTTGCCTTTTCATAACACGTTTCAAGTTGAATGTTATTCCCATTCAATTATTTATTTATCTAATTTTTAATTGAACCTATTTCTTCTCGGGCTTTGTAATTTCATTCTAAGTTTAGTATTTTGTGAATCTCCCCACGTTCCTGGTTTAGAAATTGTATTGGTGCTGTCCTGTTTGGTAATAGTAGAAAGTTATGCTTCTAATTGAAGAAGGATTAAAAATTCCTGGTGCTTAAGAAATTTCTATCCTTCAAAAAGGAGAAGCAAGTGGCTGTTCCTTTCCTTGTGCTACTCACCTTCTACTGCTAGGGAGATATCTTGTGAGAAAGTTCAGTACATTTCAATAAATAATATTGTTCAGGATGGTTCCCTGTGTACATTTTTATGAGCGTGACTGCTAAAGTGAAATAGTAAAAAGAAATCCAAACGCCTTTATTATATACAGATTCTGGATACCTCAGAATCAGGCCATTTGGATTTCCAAACTTCATGGATTCCCATTTTAGATTGTAAGATTGGCATTTGCTTCCATGATTTAGTATTTGGTATAATTTCAGTCAATTATTTGAAAAGCTTTATAAAGAAAATCATTTCTCAGTGACTAATGTCACTTTTAAGCAATGAATCTGCAGCCGTTTAGAGCAGGGGTTTCCAACTTTGGCCACTTTTAAGACTTGTGGACTTCAACTCCCAGTATTCCTCAGCCAGCAAAGCAAAGCTGGCTGAGGAATTCTGGGAGTTGAAGTCCACAAGTCTTACAGTGGCCAAGGTTGGAGACTCCTGCTTTAGAGCACTAGGCAGCATCCAGAAATGACCCCCTGTGCACATAGAAAGAATGTCTGTATCCTCCTTTGGATACATTTTGTCTTTTTCACTAATGGATTATTTTACCACAAAAATAGGAATTATTTTTGTCTTCCATTTCTGTCGTAAATCAGCATGGTCGCAAGATAGTTGACTATGATTAGACCCAATGTTTTAACCATTCTTTACTATAGTTATTAAATGAACCTGGCTTCCTGAATTGACTTGGCTTGTTTGGAAGCCAGCTGGGAATGTCACAAACTGTGATCATGTGACAGCAAGACCCTGCCACCATCATAAAGGCCAACCACTTGCCAAGCACCGGAATTGCAATAACGTGGACCATGGGAGGATGGTCCAGTGGTTATAACTTTGAGGAGAGTTTGCAAGTCATTTTTTCTGAAGCCATCGTCACTTCTAAGGGAACAGTTGTAAATCAGGGACTATCTGTAAGGCCAAAATGAACAAAAGTGATGTTTGAAGTAATTTTTTCCCCACATTTATGCATTTTCAGGACCTAGAAACTAGAACAGTGATGGTGAACCTTTTAGTTGTGGTGTGCCGAAAGCGAGTGCGCGAGCCAGCACCCACAATGCAATGCGCCCCCCTGCACATGCGTGCACCACCCCCCCCCCCCCACCTGCACTGCACATGCTGATTTTTGGCCTGTTTGAGGCCGTTTTCACCTTCCCGGGGGCTTGAGGGAAGCCTCTGCAGACTTTGGAGGCCAAAAAACGGGCCTGTTTTCAGCAATTCTGGTTTTGGCACTCCCATTTTTCGGCCTCTAAAGGCTGCAGGGGCTTCCCTTGAGCACCTGGGAGAGCGAAAAAGGCCTCAAATGGGCCGAAACTCAGCTGGGAGGTGTGCGCACGCGTAGTGCAGGTAAGTTTGGCTGAGGCTCACATGCCCTCACAAATGGCTCTGCGTGCCACCTGTGGCATGCATGCCATAGGTTCACCATCACGGGACTAGAACCTCTCTTTATTAGTGTGTTGGTTTGATTTTCAGCGCTCAGTGCCTGGTAAATTGGTTTGGGTAAGTACTGAATGAAAAAAAAAACTATTTTATTCCAAGTTGAGAGCAAAAGAACTTGGAATATTTTGAACAAAGTCTGTTCTGGCAGGAGAAACCAAAAGAAACGAACAATCAAATCAAGTTTCTTCTATAGGGCACAAGGAGTAATCAAAATAAGTATCTGGGGTTTTTTGTTTTTGTCTTAAAACAACATAACAAGGTGGGATGATCATTTGCGGTGCCCATCACTATTACTTCATAAAAAATTGTCAAGGAATATTTTAATTAAAAAAAAGGAAGTGTTTTCAAAGTTCCCCTAGCAAATAATGGAAGAAACCAATGAACATCCTTTTTGGTGTCTGCCTCAAAGCTGCGTTCAGTTACGAAAGATAGATTAACTTCAACACAGGCCACAAGCAACTATAAAATTAACATCCCTTGAATCCTTGGCTTCAGATTTGCTTGAAATGCACCCTTTTGCTATTATATTTAGTGGTTGGGGTGGGTGGCTCACTTAGAGAGCCCAGTGACAGGGCTATTACATGACAGTCTGGGAATGACAATTACTCCATGCCAATCTTTTAAAAAAAATTAACAGTAAATTTGCTTTCCCAGGCAGGCAACAATATTTTCAAAATGTTTGTCTCTTTAAATGTGTTCCCAATTTGAATCTTCCTCGCCCCCTCAGCTCTAGTAATGCTGGCAATTTACAAATCAATGGGATTCTGCCTAACCAGAAATACTAATTTACAGATATCAGGCTATTCAAAACAACATGAATTAAGCTCCCCTTTTTGTCCTGGCCTTAGGTTGAAACTCCAGAATATAAAATGTTTTGTTTTTAGTTCGGAGCACTTTAAACGCATCTGCCAAACTTGGAACCTCTTGCAGATATCCGGGTCTCTCTCTTTTATCCTTTTAAAGTTTAGAAAAACAATGTAAAAGAAAGTAAATAAGTGCAGCTGCAAATACAAAAGAACACAAATGTGGCATTTAAATATAATGCCATAAGAGATACTCCAATTGACATTACTTTTTAAATTGCTACTGGATGTAGAATTCACCACTGGGAAAGGGGAAGCAATTAGTTTGTAAGCTTTATTCAATCCAGTCATTCAAGGTGGGTTTTTACAGTGAACCTCACATCCTTAGGCTTCCCTTTTATAAATGGGGAGTAATCCCAGTGCGATTCATTTTTGCGCTTTTCAAATGCAAACTTTTTGTTGGTTTTCTAATCCTGGGATTTTTTTCTTTAGTCACCTTTCCGCACCTTGCAGGTTCTGCCCCATCATGGACTAGCCTCATGGACACAACCAAACAGTGGGATTATTATTCCCGAAGGGATAAAGACAGAGAGCGTGAAAGAGACCGAGACCGAGAACGGGATCGGGATCGTGACCGAGAGCGGGAACGGACCCGAGAAAGGGACCGGGAGCGGGAGCACAGTCCAACTGCAAGCGTGTTCAATAGGTGGGTATCGGGACCAAATCCAAGGCTTTGCAAGGAGAGTTCAGGGCCTGCTTAAAAAAAAAAAAAAACACTCTTATTTCAAACGTCACATGCAGCTGTATATTCTTAGGGGACAAGGACTGGCCTTTGTTTTTCTTTTCTCTCTGAAAACCTAGCCAGCTAACTCAAATTCAAACCAGAAGTGTAAAAATAAACATTACATACAAGACCCAAAACTAAGATGGTGAATTTTATTAGCTCACAGAATGGGTGGAATTACCTCTTCCAACTGCTCATATACCGAGATCTATTTTTTTCTCATTTATAAAGAGATTTGTGCTATTTTAAACAATTCTCTTCTTTTTCAGCTTCAAAAGGCTACATGCATTCAGCGTTGAGTTTAAAATATATGTCCATGTTTGTTCTTATAGAGGCTTAGTACTAATGTTCTCTATTTTGTATGTTTTGTGTTATAAATTACAGGGTCAGTGTCTTAGGCATTAAGATCAATTTAACATCTGTTCCTTAGGCACCTTGATTGAAAGCACAAAAACGATCTGCTCATTTAGGGGTGCTGAAATGAATCTTAATGACTTCCAGGCCTAGGGAAGATGATGTGCTGCTTGCAGACTTAACCAAAAAGGAGGGAAGAGAACATTTTTCTTCTTTCTTTCTTTTTAATGTGACTAAATTATCTGACATCGATAGCAAAACTACTGTCACATGACAGTGTGAAAAGCCAGAGAGCCCTTAGCCTAATAAAACCATCATTTGTGGAATAATAAGAGAAAGTGGGAAGCTTGGGAGTCATAGATCATTCACATAGAATATCCTGGAACAAGTAATGAGCCTTTTAACAATTTTTCAGTACCTTGTGAAATTGTGTCTAAGATTAAACAGAACAATATGTTGTCCTTCCACGAGTGACATGCCCTGTAAGCAGGTATTGGCATTATGCTCTGGTAAAAGGTCAGGTTCACCTGGGGAGACTTTGTGGACTCATGGTGTGATTTTATTGGTAGGACTACTAAAGTGGTGAAAGTGGATGAGAGGGGGAATGCTTGGGGGGGAAATGAAAGTAACTGCTGTATCTCCTTGAGATGCTGCTTCAAGGTTACCTGGCTGGGAAAAAAATACCTTTCTCAACAAATGGAGCCAAGGATCGTTTCTATTTAGAGGCTGGTCTCACAGCTGTATTGTGGTTTACTTTCCCCCAGCTATCCGGAATAATCTGCAACTTGGGATTTTCTCTTGTCTATCTACCAGTCCACCTGTTTCTCCTTAACTTTTGAACCCGGACAAGCCCAAAGCCCACTTTGTGGTGTCTGCCTTAGCTTTAACTTTGGGAGAGTGCCATGTCTTGAAAGATCCAAGAAGCTTTTCTTTGTGTTGCGGCCTGTCGGCAGACAGCCCCTCCAGCAGCCAAATCAGATGAGGCGGCGGCTTGAGAGTCAGTCAGCATCAAGGCAATCTGAGAGCTCTGAGGGGGAAGAGGAAATGGAGCTGGCAGAGAGGCAGGCGGAGCCTGGGCCATCCATCAGATGGAGAGTTGACAGCCCCCAGGTCTGGAGTGGCTGATAAGAAAAAGGAGGAACTGCTGAGTCCAGTGCCTGAGGCGCAGATGCGCAGAAAGCAGAGGAGAGGAGAGCAATGGAAATCTATGGGCTGATCCTTGGGACCGAAGAGCCACCGCTGCTAGCGACGCCCCACCCTGGCTCTGGGGATAAAAGTCAGGGGGCAGAGATGAATAGATGTGGCCCTGCCAGACAGACTTGCTAGCCTGCTGTGAGAGAGAGGAGAGGGAGACTTTGCTGAGGTTGCTGGCGCTCCTAATAAGGGGAACATTTATTTAACTACAGAGGGTTTGTCGCGCTTGGGAGCTTGGTCAGAACACTTTTATTCTGCCTTCTGAAGGCCAAAACATCCAAACGTTTTGTGAATTTCAATAAAAGGTAGTGCCAGCTGATACCTCATGTTTGTTCCCTTACATTACACGTTCCTGCCCGAATCAGCCTTTCAGAATTATTCTTCGTGGAACATAGAAAGCGGGCAAAAGTTTCCCAACCAATAATCTCTCTGTGCTTTAGGTGTGTATGGGAGAAGCCAAGGGTTGCTCCCTTTAGTTTGACGTGCACTGGAGGAATGTTTTTTTCTTCTTAGTGATGAAGAGCAGAGATACAGGTACAGAGAATATGCAGAGAGAGGCTACGAACGACATAGGACAAGTCGAGAGAAAGAAGAGCGGCACCGAGAAAGGAGACACCGCGAGAAAGAAGAGACGAGACACAAATCGTCACGGAGGTCAGTTCCTTGCTAAGCTCTCAAATGGTGGTTTTATGGGTGGTGCTTAAAATAAAAATGTTGGCTATCCGGCAATACCTCCCTCCCTCTCCTCCTTTTTATTTCCTAGTGAAAATGAAGCCCAAAGTTAGTAAATTGTGTTTTTCCCCCCAATCAAAGAGATCTGAACGTAGGTCCGTGGTGGCGAACCTATGGCACACGTGCCAGAGGTAGCACGCAGAGCCTTCTCTCTGGGCATGTGAGCCGTTGCCCCAGCTCAGCTCCGCCACACATGTGCATACGTGCCTCCCACCGGCCAACTGATCGTTGGGTCTCTGCCACAGCTGCGCGGGGAGCAGGGTGCATACGTTCAGGGGGAGCCACACGTATTGCATTTGCGTGCATGCCTTGGGCACTTAGTGCCAAAAAGGTTAGCCATCACTGCCGTAGGTGATAAACTCAGAATCCTTTTTTTAGTTTGAACATGGGAACTTCGTAATGAAAGGTTCCGTTCATTTGTCTCGGTGGGCTGCTTAGAGCAGGCAAGATCTTAGATGAGGGAATAGAAGGGGAACTTACCCAATTTGCAGATGATACTAAGCTGGCAGGAATAGCTAACATCCAAGAAGATAGGCTCAAGATGCAGATGGATCTTGACAGACTAGAACATTGGGTTTTATCTAACAAAATGAAATTCAATGTAGAGAAAAGTAAAGTTGGGCAGGAAAAACCAAAAGTTCACATATAGACTGGGTGAAAGCAGGCTCAATAGCAGTAACTGTGAGAGGGATCTTGGAGTCTTAGTGGACAACCAGCTAAATAGGAGCCAGCAGTGTGCAGCAGCAGCTGAAAAAGCTAATGCAATCCTAAGTTGCATTAACAGAGGGATACAATCAAGATCAAGGGAGGTACTAATACCACTCTATAAAGCCTTAGTAAGACCACACCTAGAGTACTGCATCCAGTTTTGGTCACATTATAAAAAAAGATGTTGAAGACTCTAGAAAAAGTAGAGAGAAGAGCAACCAGGATGATTAGGAGGAGACTGGAGACTAAAACATAGGAATAATGGTTGCAGGAACTGAGCATGGCTAGTCTAGTAAAGAGAAGGACCAGGGGAGACAGGATAGCGGTCTTCCAATATTTGAGGGGCTGCCACAGAGAGGAGGAAGGGGGTCAAGCTATTTTCTAAAGCACCTGAAGACCAGACAAGGAAAAATGGATGGAAACTGAACAAGGAGAGATTTAACCTGGAAATAAGGAGAAATTTTCTGACAGAACAATCAATCACTTGAGACTTTCAAGAAGAGATTGGACTGCCATCTGTCAGAAATGGTGTAGAGTCTCCCACTTGGGTGGGTGGACTAGATGACCTATAAGGTCCCTTCCAACTCTGATTATCTGTTATCTGATCCCTGGGCAGTGGTGGGACCCACTGTCCTTGGGGGAGAGGGAGTGTTTGGCTGCTCTTTGCAGAAGCGTCCATTTGTGGTTCATTTCAAAATCAGGCCCCAATCCCTTTACCTTGTCTCTGAGGAGAGACTGACCAATAGAGCAGCTGTCTTCTTCGTGTCCTTTGCTTATTTGCCAAGTGAAACATTTCCACTTGCTTGCCCCCCTTTGCTAATACAGGTAGTTCTCGACCTATCACCACAATTGAGCCCCAGCGTTTCTGTTGCTAAGCGAGACATTTGTTGAAAATCCTCACTGGATTAATCAACATGTTTTGTGGCCCTGTTGTGTATGTGAAAGTGAGTCTAGGGAATCCTCCAGTTACGACCACAACCGACCCCAAAATGTATGTTGCTAACTGCAACATTTGTTATGAGAGTTTTACAACCTTTCTTGCCAAGTTTGTTAAGTGAATCACTGTTAAAGTTAGCAACCCGGTTGTTAAGTGAATCTGCCCTTTCCCATTGACTTTGCTTGCACGTCGCAAAAGGGGATCCCATGACCATGGGACACTGCAACCGTCATAAGTATGAGTCAATTGCCAAACATCCAAATTTTGATCACATAACTATCAGGATGCTGCAACGGTCATAAGTCTGAAAAATGATCATAAGTCACTATTTTCACTGTCGTTGCAACTTCGAATGGTCGCTAAATAGACTGTTGTGAATTGAGGACTATAGCAGTGGTGGCTAACCTTTTTGGACCCCTGTGCCAAAAATTGTGCGCGCGCTTGCACTTGCGTGCCAGCACCCAGAAGGCAATGCACGCCCCCCATGCCCTCTACGCATGCGTGCGCAATCCCACCCATCCCCTGCCGCCCCCTTACCTGCACTGCACCTCACAGCTGATTTTTGGCCGGTTTGAGGCCTTTTTAGGCCTCCCAAAGGCTTGAGGAAGGCTACTGCAGGCCAAAAACTAGGCCCGTTTTGTCACTTCCGGTATTTTCTGAAAAACAGGAAATGGCGAAACAGGCCTAGTTTTTGGCCTGCAGTAGCCTTCCTCAAGCCTTTAGGAGGCTGAAAAAGGCCTCAAACCGGCCAAAAATCAGCTGTGAGGCGCATGCATGCCCAGTGAGGTAAGTTTGCCTGCAGCTCGTGTGCTGGCACAAATGGCTCTGCGTGCCACCTGTGCATAGGTTTGCCATCACAGACCTGTAGTTTATAGCCAAAAATGAAAAATAAAAATCCTAAGAATTTCTCAGGAGTATGACTGGATGACATGATTTTAGGCCTACTATCTTTATGAACGGAAATCCTGTGAAAGCTGCAACTTCTTTGCAGAAAAATTCTGGCCTCTTCATTGGGGGACATGTATTTTAATTTTAAGGATAGTCATTGATACAAGTATAGTCAAAATAAACAACGGCAGATGAAAATCTCAAGAGAAGCTTAATATCAGAGTTTTTCTTCAGCCCCTTTTTCTGGTTTTGATTTAATGATGAGGGAGGCTCATTCGATGACATCATTGCATAGGCCAAATAATTGGTTTTATAACACGAAGAAGAGCTTGAGAAGCAGGCTGGTGGCACTCAGTCAGAGGCTCCATTAAATCTTTTTGTCCTTTTCTCCTCTCCCCTCTTTTCTCTCCCTAGCAACAGCCGGCGTCGCCATGATAGTGAAGAAGGAGAGAGCCACAGGAGGCATAAACATAAAAAGTCAAAAAAGAGCAAAGAAGGGAAAGAAATGGGTGGCGGTGAACCAGTCTCTGAACAAGAAAACACTGAAGCTGCCCCTGCAGAATAGGCATGTGATATTGTTGCCTACTTGCTTATATTAATGCCAGAAATAGATTGCTCTAAATCTAATTATTTTTCTGGGTCTTAAGATGTTGCTCTTAATCTTGTTCTGTTAGTAGAAAAGCATACGTTTAATTTGGGTTTTTGAAAATAAAAGAGTGAATTTTTTCATGTTAAAAGCAAGACTGTTTTGTCTTCTTTATGCCATTGGAACAGTGAAGACGTCACCAAAAAGTTGTGTTTGGTTACTGAAATTCCTTGCATTTAATCCAAGATTCATCGAAATGGAAAATGCAGAATTAATACAGAGGCTTCTCACGTTCAAATAAATATTTCACACATGGCTGTTCTTCCGGGCACTCAATAGATTGTTTTCTGAAGGATGAACCAGTGTTTCGTTTAGTCCTTTAGAGCAGTGATCCCCAACCTTTTTGACGCCGCGGCCCGGTACCAGCATCAGCTGGGCGCCGCCATCTTTTTTTGATGAAAAAGTGCTTCCGGTGAGCTTTCTACCCGGAAAAGCTCCCCGGAAGCGCTGGCGCCGCCATCTTTTTTTGATGAAAACGTGCTTCCGGTGAGCTTTCTACCCGGAAAAGCTCACCGGAAGCACTTTTTCATGAAAAAAAGATGGCGGTGCCCAGCAAGCCAGCGGCCCGGTAGGAGTTGTTCCGCGGACCGGGACCGGTCCGAGGACCGGTGGTTGGGGACCCCTGCTTTAGAGAAGTAAATCTGTATATTTTTAAATAAAAAAGTTAGCATATCTTGGCTAGAAATCCATAATGTGTCAATAGTACCCAGGTGTAATATCTCCTGTATTTGAACATATGGGCCTTTTTGTAGATTTCTATAAAGCAGTTTCTGGTTTTATTCTTTACTTACACTGCTCCTTACACTGCGCCATTAGGATGCTGGTTTAGAAGAGCCCAACCCAGAATGGAAGGATAAAAACTAAGTAAAACAGAATGAAATGGTTTGATTTCATGAATCAGAAAGTTTCATGCAAAATTGAGTATTTTTGTCCTTTTTTTAATTAAATTAATCTGGCTTTACAAATTACAATTAATTAAATAGTAGAAATAAAACACAATTATAATATATTAGAAAAAAAAATTGTCTTAAAAAAAGACTGCTTTTACTGAGCACAAAAAGGAAAATTAATAGATTCATCAGCCAGCCTTCTCACATCTTTCATAGATGCTGTCAGGATAATCATTAGAAAAGCATTTTATTATTTCGATGTTTCTGAAATCACTTTCAAATTAGGTAAAGTTGTTTCCTTCTTTATCTAAAGAGCAGGTGAAACATAGATATATACCTATCTACGTTGTGTGCTTTGATTTACACCAGTAGCTTTCCATAGTTTTTAAGAGAACATGAGTTTTTTCCCCCAAAACATGTACTATGGAGCATTTTAAGACTCTTCTACTTATATAATGCACATTTACACTTTGCTACCAAAAAAAAAGTACATAGGAATCCGTTTGTTTCCAGTTGAAACACATCTTTATAAAAAGGTACCGGGCCAGGATACAATAGTGAGAGTAAGTTTCCCCTTCAGTTCTTTTAGCATCCTTGCCAAAGAGGCATGCGCCATTCCTGAGATATTCCTGCCGTTCACTGCAAGGAGGATGTCACCGCACCTGGAATGGGAGGAACAAATAAAACTTAAGTTAGGCTCATCTGCAATTCCAAGACAGTTTTTCTTTATTTTGCAAATGTCTATGGAGCTTCTCAGTGATGGTTGATTTTTGCAAGAGACAATTGGGCTTTCTGGTTTTTCTTTGAGAGCTTGGATGAGAAGCAAAACGTATTCTTTTTTGTTTTTCTTTTTTGTTTTTAACAAACCAATACAAACACAAAACAACAAAACCTTTCAATTGTACAGTGTGTCAGTTGGTACATATTTCTTGTGCACATTATCAATAGTCTTTCCCTCGTAAATGTAAATTTATATTCATATTCAACTTTCCATGTCATATTACCATTAAATTCACATTATTCTTTCAAGCCCACTTCAATTTTTACAAGTTCAAGTTCATATTATAATTTCTTCTATAATAATTATATCATTACTATTGTATTATATTTACTGTTGTATTATATTTATATTAATATATTTCATTTTCCTATCTAACCAGCAAAATGTCTTCAAAGAAAAAAAGGAAAGTCTAGTTGACTCTTGCAAAAAGCACCTTTGGGGTGATTATTTTGCAAATCTGGTGTTTGGAATTGCCAAAGTTCTCATGTTTATTAAGGAGCTAAGAGTAATCAAACCAGATCACCTCAGATTCGCGTCACAAAACCCAACTTAAGAATCACTTCAGATGTTCTTTTATTGCATGGTATAAAATTGAACCTATTTTGATGCATAATCTTATTCCTTGGGGAGTGTGGTCAGTCACTTTCATTTCATATAATTGGAAGCACTTGTGGCCATATGATATTTTGCTCTTTGAGGATATTAAGATTGCTTGGCCTACTTCACCGAAGTAAGGTCAATTGTTAAGATATGCCTGAACTAGGTGCAAAATTAGGTCACACATTTATAAACTGCTACACCTTCAGATTCTTGGCAGTTCACAACAATTATAGAACAACCTGTCCGACAGCTAGGTAAAGTTTGTATCAAAATTGCATAACGCACTTTGGACCATAACACAGTTCTCATAGCTTAACTTGGCTTATGGATGACCTTTCTTGCCACAGTCCTTAAGTGAATCATTGGAGCTGTTAAATTAGTAATACAGTTGTAAAGTGAATCTTGACTTTTTGTGATGACTCGGAGTGTAACATAAACGTAACAAAATCCAAAATGTAAATAAATGTCCTTTAATGCCTCCAACTTGGCCCCACTGTTCAATAATTCTCAGTTGGAGATAAAACTTACTCAAAAATAGTCTTCCAAAGAAAGCAATACAGTCCGAAATTAATGAGCAGATAGAGGTGAAATAAAAAAAACAAACTACAATGAAGAAATTTGCACAATGGGACAAGAGAAGTAATTACCAACTTCAAGGAGATAACAAGGCACAGTCTGTTGGAAGGACGCCAATCAAGATACCTTCAGCCCAAAATAAAACACGCTTTGCTTCTGGCAACGCTGTGTTTTAACCATCTCTCTTATATACTATTCTCCCCAGCTGCAACCAATGAGGGGGATCATGGCCGCTTCCTCTCTCGTAAGCCAAGTTGTTTCCTTCTCCGTTCCTCCCTGCATGTCCTAGGATGGCCTCTGCCCTTCCCCAGCCTCCTCCACAACCGCTGGAGCTACACCTCCACTCCCTGTCTGCTGTTTCTCCTCTCCCTCAGAATCCGACTCTACCAAGGGCATGACACTTTGGTTGTCAAAAGTTTGCAGAAGGTGATCACATAATCCCAGTTCACTGCAACCATCATAAATATGAGTCAGTTGCCAAGTGGCTGAGTTTTGATCATGTGAGCATGGGGAGGCTGCAATGGTCGTAACTGAAAAAAATGTCGTAAGTCACCTTTTTCAATGCCATTATAACTTTGAACAGTCACTAAATGAACTGTTGTAAATCAAGGACTTTGCTCCCAGGTGGCTGTATTCTCACTCTGTGCCTCATTGCCAATTGTATCAGTTGCCTGGTTTAGCACAATTATGTTTCCCAGGAAACAAAGGTTCAGGTAAACAGGATGAATTATAGTAAATTGTTATTTTAAAAATGCAATTGCTCTGTATAAAATATTAACTCCTTTTATACTAAAATCAATGTTCAATTTTCTTGTGCCTATATCTGTAGCCTAGATAAAAGAAACAGCAGTGATTCTCTTTAGAGTAGGAGATACAGTTTCCATCCATTCCTTGTTTGGAACAGAACACTAAACATTTGCAAAGATAAGTGGTATTAAGAAGAAAATAGGATCCTTATTCAGATTCATCTTAGATTGTGTGAGAACAATTACTTTTATAATCAAAGAAGAAAGCAGTTGGCATAGGTAGCTTTACATCAGATCACAAATTTTTCAACGAATCAAACAAGTTCATAGACTAGTCCCATGATGGCGAACCTATGGCACGCATGCCGGAAGTGACATACAGAGCCATCTTCACTGGCACGTGAGCTGTTGCCCCGGAACAGGTCCACTGCGCATTCGTGCCCACCACCCACCCACCAGCTGATTGTCAGGTAGCTGCTGTGCATGTGTGGGGTGCGCGGGCCGTGAGAGACTTACGTGCATGCGCAGAAAGCGCAGGGCGTGCAGAGGGGGTCACGCGCAGGGGTGGGATTCAAATTTTTTAACAACTGGTTCTGTGGGCATGGCTTAGGTGGTGGGCGTGGCTTGGTGGTCATGTGACTGGGTGGACATGGCTTGGTGGTCATGTTATTGGCTGGGCGTGGCCAACCTAACATCACTCACATCGAGGCACGCATCTCCTCGCCTGGTATCTCATGACTGTGGGGATGCTGCAACAGTCATAAGTGTGGAAAACGGTCATAAGTCACTTTTTTCAGTGCCATTGTAACTTTAAATGGTCACTCCATTTAAAGTACCAGCAAAGGAGAGGAAAAAACTCCAGAGATGTTCCTGAGACAGGAAGTCTAGTCCTGCCAATAATGTAATAAGGGTCAATGGAGAGGCAGCTTCTGTAAGCAACACCAGAATGTTTCCTTCCTGCCTTCCTTACAGGATTAGGCCAGTAATTTCTTCTAACAACTAGTTCTCCGAACTGCTTAGAATGTTTACAACCGGTTCTAGCGAATAGGTGAGAACCAGTAGAATTCCACCCCTGGTCACGCACATGCACAGAAATGCACGGTGCACTTGGGGGATTGTACACGCATGCGCAGGGGGTGTGGGGCTCCCCATGTGCATTGCCTTATGGGTGTTGGCACGCGTGTGTGCACCCGCACTTTTGACACACAAGGATGGAAAGGTTAGCCATCACTAGTCCCTTCTTAGAAATGGTTCAGATATGAAGGGAAGGATCCTTGGAAAACAATAGGGCCTAGATCCAGTCCTTATAGTCCACAAGTAAAAATGGGGAACATTTTGTTAACAATCCTGGAAAAAAGGATTTTCAACATAGACAGTATGGAGCAAGATGCTTCATGGGTCTCATTCGATCAAAGACAACCTCAGTTATAAGACAATTTGCCTTTAAGAAGTATGTTTTTATTACCGGATTCTTCCATCATTATATGCTGGAGTCCCTTCCACAATGGATTTGATAAAGAACGGCTTGTTTCCACTGTTTTCTTCATAGCCTCCCACTATACTGAAGCCAAGGCTTCCTGCTGTATTTCTTCGCAACACAATTTCTTTGCAGCTGTACAAAGACCTACAAGAAAGCATTCCATTTAAGTCATATTTCTACCTTAAAGTTATAAATGTTCATTACTTACATTCTTCTTATTTTGCTCCTTAGCCATAGCAGGCTTCAAATTATCCACCTGGATGCCGTTCAGATTACGATACGTTTAGTAGAGCTGTTTATAGCCTCACGGCTAATCCTCGATTTAATGACAGTTAACGAATCCTGGAATTTCTGTTGTACATTATGATGGTTGTAAGATGTAGCATCCAAGTGACTGACCCATTTCCAGGGGGTGGGATTCTACCGGTTCGCACCGGTTCTACAGAAACCGGTTGTTATGATTCTGTGCAGTTTGGAGAACTGGCAAATTGTGCGCCTTGCTGGCCCCACCCCTCTCTGCTCACCCCTCCCTTCCCCACCCAGTCAGTCCTTATCGTGCATGTGCGACATCGCTAACTGCGTTCTCCCCCACCCAGTCACTCCTTTCCCCCTCCCGACGATCAGCTCTTCTGATGATCAGCTGTGTGGGACCCCCCCCCTCACTGTCTTATTGCTTCACCCAGGAGGCTTCCTTGAGGACTGGGAGGCCCACAAATGGAGCCCCAGGAAAGCTTCCCGGGAGAAAAAGGCCCCACTAGGAGGCTTCCCTGAGGCCCAGGATGCCAAAATAATGGAGGGGAGGGTGCTTCAAAAAAAAAAGAAGAAGCCATGCCCACCCAGTCACATGGCCATGCCCATCTAGCCACACCCACAGAACCAGTTGTTAAAAAAATTGAACCCCACCCCTGCCCATTTTTTTGTGGCAGTCATTAAGTGAACCCAATCCCTGCAATAGGCTCTTTTTGCCAGAAACTGGAAGTAAACACCAGTTTCCAGCAAAAATTAAAAAAAAAATAAAGTTGCAGTCACATGACTGTAGGATGCTGCAAACAGCCGTAAATATGGGCCATTTGCTGAATGTTCAAAATGTAATCACCTCAGCGCAAGGGGATCCAGCTCTCAGAGCTTTGTATCCAGGTCATAAATACCTTTGGGGCAGGGGGGGAAATGTTTGTAATTTCAAAGGGTCACTAAGCAACCAAATACAAACCAAAGATTACCTGTAACTCAGGATTCTGTGTACGCAAAAGCTTGCAGTGTTGCATTATCAACCTAGCTCAGGGGTGGGCAAACTTTTTGGCTCGGGAGGGGGGGCCTCATTGACTTTTAAAATTTGACAGACGGGCTGCCACCTGGTGTCAAAATGCCTGTCATTACAAGTCAAAATCAAATGAATGCAATCATTCAATCATTCACATCAAACCATAATTCTGTACCAATCTTCGGCGGGCCGGATTAAAAAGACCAACGGGCCGGATGTGGCCCGCGGGCCGTAGTTTGCCCACCCCTGACCTAACTGATCAACCGTCCCTGTTGCAATTTCTATTTTTATCTTTTTAAAGCAACAAGACTCAGAGCTTTGTCTTTAAATTGGAATAATTTAAAAATGAAAACACTGTTTTTTTTTTTTTTAAGGCAACAGATTTTTGCTCTGTTCTTCTGCAGGATTTTTGTAGTACTGTAGATTAGGCCCTTGAGAAGAACAAATATGCACCTGCTGGCAGAATATAAGTGTATAATGTTTGTATAATAGCTAGCTGGCTTCTAATGTGAAAAGCAGGTGCCTGTTGGCTCTTGTTTTGCATGGCTCTCATTTTATTCGTTTACCATCTGTGTGGGGTTTTCAGCATTCTGAATTCCACTTTTCATACAGTCGTATATGCACCAGATTTACCAGAGTCGTGATCCAATGTTGTCAGGATTTCACTATTATTGATAGCTATTATTGGTAGTAGGAGGTCACAAGGTTGTGTCTAATCACGAGAGATGTCCTGACTTCCAGCATTTTATTGTATTTTCTAAACAATCGTTACAATTTATTAAAAATTGGAGAGAGAGACAATCCTAACCATTTTACAAGATACTAAATGGGTCTTTGGAGTGTTGGGACTTTTGAGTATGGGGCAGTGGTGGGATTCAAATAATTTAACCACCAGTTCTCTGTCCTGATGACCGGCTGGGTGGGTGTGGCCATAGTGGGCGTGGCCAGGGGTGTAACAGGCAGCACTCGGCCTCCTGCACCCTCCGGGAGCAAAAACGGGCCATGGGGGGCTGCATCACCCCCCATGCCCCATTTTGGGCCTAGTAGGCTTCCCTGAAGCTCTCTGGAAGCAAAAACGGGCCTGTGCACTGTTTTGGGCCTAGTTGGGCTCCCTGCAGCCCCCGGAGAGCAAAAACAGGCCATGGGGAGCCACGTCGCACTTCCCATGCCCCGTTTTGGGCCAAGTAGGCATCCCTGCTCTTACCTGGGAGCCAAAACGGGGCACGTTGGGACTCCTGGAAGGGGCAGTGTGGGGCGGGGAGGGGCCAGCCAGAAATTTAACAACCGTTTTCACCGAAGTGGTATGAACCGGTTGAATCCCACCACTGGTATGGGGGCTTCATCTTAAAGAGTGAGGAGAAGAAACAACTGCATTTATTAGACTAGTATGTCACCAGACTATTCCAGACTCCTTGCTTACAACAGGAAGACAGAAAAAAATAAAATAAAACTCGACAGTAAAATGTAAACAACACAAAGCCATTAAGTGCACCCACCCTTCATTTCTAAATGTCCTCTGATTTTTTAACCAATTTTGAAAAGGTAACAAAGCAGACAAATGTTGCCTGCAGCCCTCTCTCCCATGTCACAAAAAAGGAAGTGCGTGTGTGTGTGTGTGTGTGTGTGTGTGAGAGAGAGAGAGAGAGAGAGAGGGAGGGAGGGAGGAAGGGAGGAAGAGAGAGGGAGATATGTATGTAACTGCTATATTCTCTAGAAATTAAGTGAAGAGAAAAATCGATAGGATTGTGACTCACTTCCATTTTGACCCCAGAGTAATGAAAAGTGCACAAAACACCACGGCCCTGTCTCTCTGAAAACTTAAGACATCCCAGGCAAGTTGGAATGAATCAGAGCAGTGACGCACCCAAAGCTCCTGTCCATGTGTTTTGGAGATGGCAAAACGTCTAGCTCTTTTAATGACTGGAACTTGCTTGGGCAATGCTTCTAGGCCTCCAAGGCTTCAAAGCGGAAGGCTAAACCATTCAGTTGAGATGGAATGTCTCGTTTGGTCTTTAGTGAGTCATTGTTTGGATGTTTTTGTGGGGTGTTGCATAAGTGAAGCACTCCATGTTCTCCCTCTAGCACGGATAAAATAAATGCTGCCACAGAACATTCTTGTCCATGCCGGAGATAGTATTTTGCTTCACTGAGTCCTGGGCGGTAGAAATAGGTTAAGCAGAGGAAAGAATCTGAAGGTTGCAAAAGGGGATTATATGATCCTGGGACACCGCAACCATTATAAATATGAGTAACTTGCTAAGTGGCTGGATTTTGATCATGTGACCATGGGGATGCTGCTATGGTTGTAACTGTGGGGGAAATGGTCATAAATCACTTTTTTCAGTGCGGCTGTAACTTTGAACAGTCATTAAACGAACTATTGTAAGTGGAGAACTACCTGTATTGCAAATCTTTCTTTCTTTTTTTTTGTATTGATTTGCAAAGTGCCCTTGTGTTTGAAGGAGCTTTTGGAATGACAATTAACCCATGTTAAATAATTCACAAAAGATTTCCAGCCTGAAATACGCAGTTAATAAGATCCTTATTTCTCCCAAGACAGCTTCAATAACAAAAGAAGAAGAAAAAAAAGAAAATATCCTTAAGGCCTATTTAACCTCTCTTCAGCTTTGGCTGGATGGTCAGTTGCCCTTCCTAGACCAAAATGGGAACTCTGCTCCTAAGAGGTTACATTCTTAGACAAAGGGGAAATGAGTTAATGTGTATTAATGTGATGCATATTCTGGCGAAAAGACCTGCTTAAAGGGCTTCCAGATGTGGCGTGCAAAACTCAGAAAAGCAAGAACAGAAAAAATAAGGCCGTCAGCACAACTCGCAGGGCAAGATTGAAGAATGTGACAATCTGTTTTGTCAAGCAAGTAAATCCAAATACTGAATTCTGAGTGCCTAGTCAAATAAGCAAGGACTAATAAGAAATACACCTCTGTTCCTGTCAATTATAATCAGCTTTTGCCTCTTTCCTCTTTAATCTGAATTTTGGAAGACCAACACACTAGCACAGCATACTAATTCCCCTTGGTTTTCATATACTCTGTGGTTCCTTTCTCTGAGCGGTGCTGCAGCTGGAGATATGATTACAATGAATTTCCTGTTTCCAAACCTGCTGACTTGGTGGGTAATTTTCCTTCAGTAAAAGAGGGCATAGAGAGAGGGGAAGGATGGACAAACCAGTACATGCATAGTTTGGCATGGGAAGAAGGAGCCCCAGTAAAAATTGTGGCTGGTGTTAATAAAGCAAAATCTTTCTTTGAGGATACGGGAATTAAAGCACCCACCAACACACACCCCTTTCCAAAATTCTGTGCAAAATAATAAGTTGCCCTCTTTTGAACAATTCCCTCCGTGATACTCCAGTTAAGACAGGAATAATGAAAGCGATTTTGCCATGCTTTTGCTAAACATCATGCCACTGTTAAAACTGTCCAGAAAGCAACAAGGTCATGTTATTTCTTTATTATAAAATGAAGATAATGTTGAGCATTGCCACATTTTCCTGTCTGTATGCTAAGGACCTTTGTGTTTACAATTTTAAGCCAGCATTTAAACTATTTAATCTGATCCTGGCTAAGCTTGGGTGTCCCCCAGTGGTGGGATTCAATTTTTTTTTTTTTTACTATCGGTTCTGTGGGTGTGGCTTGGTAGGTGTGGCATGGCTTGATGGGCATGGCAGGGGAAGGATACTGCAAAATCTCCCTTCTCTCCCCACCCCACTAACCTGCTTTCCAGCTCCATTTTCCTGTGCAGGAGAACAAAACAAGACCCAGCTGATCAGCTGGGACTCAGGAGGCAGAGACTAGATGAGGTGGGGCCAGTCAGAGGTGGCATTCCAAACTACTCAAAATTTCTGCTACTGGTTCTCCAGAAC